CTAGTTTCTCAGCATCACCCCTGGACAGGATATTTATAATTTTTGCAATATTTCAGAGATTAAGGAGGAAATTCTAGAAAATATTTGATAAAAAAGTACTAACTGGACATTTCTATTTTGATATATCTTGTCATTTAAAATAGCAACTTACCATAGTTAGTCTATTTTGTTATAATCTTTATTTATTCAAGATAAAAATCTACCCTCCCTGGAATAGGCAGGTGACATCACATTAATGCTTCTGAATGCATCAGTTGTGATTCCTCTTATTTTCATGTTTGTAATCAAGTTCCTTCTATAAATGGATTGAAATGTTTTCTGTGTGGCTGCAGCAAACGTTTGAATAAGGGTTTGGTAACAAGTCATTTTGAAATGCTCTGTAAAGAAGGCCAGATTTTTTATTAGCAAAGACCTGCAGTGATCATTTATGACCAAGTTATACAAAAGAAAAAAAAAAGGCACATCTCCAGTTTGATACGCTGCATTACCTTTTACCTCTGTGGAAAATATTTTTTCTAATGAGCCCAGTGCTACCAGTAACTGCTCTCCGCCCATTGAACCTGCAGTATAGACTGTATGATCACCATCATTCCAGTCAACATTAAGAGCGAAGAGGCGAAGGGGGGGAAACAATCCTTCCATTCTGCATTCGGTAAAAGAAGCTTGTCCAGTTTGCTTAAAGATCGAGAGCGTAGACTGCACTCTCATTTTCTCAGTGACAACTGGTAGGCTAAATATGCATGAACACAATGGGGAACATTTAAACAGGAATACCAACAGATTTTGAAGGCAATTATTTACATCTCCTTACATAGATAGTGAGAGATACAGCTGTACCCCTCATGATTTATGTAAAAAAAAAAAAATCCTAAATGTTACTTAGCTGATCAGATGGATGACACAAGCTTTAAAAAAATAGAATACCGGTAAACAGATTTTTCTTACTGTTTAAAGCAGATTTATTAAAATCTTAGGATATTTTCCATTAATCTGTGTATATTTTGCTCTTTTTTTAAACATTTTTTTGTGAGATAAACATCACAAAGTATGTTTATAACACAAAAATATCCTAATTAGTAAATATTTAACATTGACTTTTACACTATTTTTTCTACAGTTTTATTTAATAACATTAAACATTTCAACAACAAAAAAATGATTCTAATGATTCAAATTAATTTTTCACAATTTGCTTAATGTTAAAGAAAAGTAATAGCTTTGCAGCCTCCCTTTTATATTAATGAATTTTTATTTTTAATTAGCCTTTTTTTAATCCAACTAATTCAGAAGTTGGAACAAAACTTGAATGTAGAGGAAATCAGATGATTTGTTGCAAAAGGGAAAGGTTTGCAACTACAGATTTCCTCTTTGAAAACCATCCCTGACTTTGTGTGGATGGCTTTAAAACAGACTGTGCCTGCTGTGGTTGGGGGGTCCAGGCACTGTAAAAAGGGACCATGTCTGTCCCTGACCAGATAATTACTCCCTATGGACGACACATTCCTGCAGGCTGTTGTCTGTCTGAATGTGTGAGATGCTTTCACCGTGCCGCTTTCCTTCCCGGGGTCCAACCCGGACCCCCACATGGAGCGGGATTCCAACGAAATTCCCCTGTCATGTTGATTCACAAGGTGGACATGCATTATTGTTGTGTAGAACTCCCATCCATCCATCAGGGATGTCAGTACGAGCAAAACAGAACAAAAAAAACAGGAGAAAAAAAAGAGAGGAATTCTCTTTTTGGTTAGACGGTTTATTTACATGCTGTAGGTCACATTACAAGGAGCAGAAATGTGACTTATTGTCAACCAGCTGTTAAACAGTCATGTTGCTAAATCTTGGCGTTTTTAATGTTTTCAAAGCTAACAATTTAAAAGCGGATTTATTGATCACCTCAAATGATCTACTACTGTTAACTTCTCTGTATTATCACACCTTTAGATGAAAAGGTTTAGTGATGTTCTTCTAGTGTGGGCCAGTTCATGACCGATATGTGTTAACGCTAAAATGAATAAAGTGAAAATAGACAACTCTACTGTAAATATTTAAAAGAAAAATTCACACTCACTAAAACTGAGGCCTTCAGTTAATTTACATCAGTTTCAGTGTTTATCTCACCTCCACTCAACTGGATAGAAAGCAGCTGAATTCAATCTATAAATCACATTAACTCTACTATAGATTCTTTTTCAATAAATATGGTATACATTTGGCTTTAACTCTGCATTACATTGTAAACAAACACTTTTCACAGTATAACTAACAGCACAGAGCAGAAAGCTAATACAATGCTTGAGGATGATGTGTGGTCCTGATGCTGGAAGCGAGCAGTGAACGTCTCAACAGGTGCAGGAACATGGCTGATCTTGTGTTTCTTCTTCAAACAACCCATAAACTTTTCTCTAAACAGACACTTCTGTATGCGGAATCAGAAGCGGGGATATTTTTCAGACTCGCTTTTATAACAAACTTTGTTTTTATTACGATCCATTGGTTTCCATCCATCCTCTCTATAATGGGTCATGCTGCTGTAGATGACGATGATGGGTTTTTCTTTTTTTTAGTGTTCAGGATTCAGTGGTGGACGGATGTCCAGCATTTTTGAGGAGCTGTCCTCTCCCACTACCTCAAGGCGCAGGCTGGGCGAGTTGCGCTCCTCCCGGCCTTCTGATTGGACGGAGAGCCGTAGGGTGCAGCCTTTTGGCAGCAGCTCCTGCTCGTACGCCGCAGCTAGCTGGTTGACAACACGTCGCTCAACCTGAGGGATCAGAAATGAGGTTGAACTAAACACCGCCAAATTAAACATGGTTTAGGGATACAGTATTTCTTAAGCTTTCCATGTGACCCGTCTGGTGGTTTTATTCTTCTTCTTAATGCTATTTACTTCCTAATGTTCTCTGACAAACCTCTCAGGCCTTCAAACAAAAGCTGGATTCCTACTGATTGTGTTTTTTCATATTTCTATTAATAAAAAAATTATAATTTTGTTCACTTTTTGTTGATCTAACACATAAAATCCCAGTACAATAAGTTGTTAATTGTAAAGTGATAAAATCTATAAAAGTTACAGGGATACGAAAACGTAGGTGACGTACCTCATGTTTGATGGAACGTGCTCCATAGTGGAGGTTATATCCACCTGCTAAGAGGTCCAGGACCTGGCGATCCCACTGAAGAGTGATGTCATGGCGCTGCTTAGCCTGATGGGGAGATACAGAGGAGGTAATGTTAGATAAGGATAAGGGAGGGGATCACACCTATGGTGGATGCACACTGCATTAAAAAAAGAAACAAATCAAAGAGTGAAGGAGCAAACGAGACAAGTGCAGCATCAGAGAATAGATACTGTCAAGCCGCATGTCTGCCAGCGCTAATCAACAGCCCCTTAATGCGCTTTAATCAAACACCAGTCGATAGTAGTGATCAGAGCAGCTCATTTAGCTACTGATGTTAGCACTTCATTCAATAAATAGGACGACATGTTTCACTGCAGATGTATAGTGAAGCAATAATGGCAGCACTAAACATTTAATTCTCCTAATATGAGCGAACGACAAACAAATGGCGATTAGAAGATAATCACATTTCTGATGAAGTGCTGCCAGACTCAAATAAGTTGTTGTGAAAACTAAAATAAAAAAAAAAATGAAAAAGCAAGTTTCAGAAGATGAATAGAGTAAATAGATGCATGAATCAGGCTCCAACCGGTCCCCAGTGGGGGCCATGTTGTCAGGACATCAGCTGTAATATTAATAATTAAATATTGATGAAGCCTCCACATGTTAAACACTGTAATCATGTTATAGTGAGTAGCAGAGGCACACAGTATTGATCTGCGCATTTTTTCCTGCACAGCTCAGCGGCTGCAGAGTAAAGTGGGTGAGGCTCCTAGAAGACGACACTAGAACAGAGTAAACAAACCAAGACAAAAAGTTCACAAGTGAAGCAGCAGTTCACTGTCAGAGGTTGAATATTTTGTTTTATAAATCATCTTGATGAATAAAGAACCAATCCTATAACTATACCAAATGCCAGGTACAGTCATTTAGAAGAAAGATTGTGCACATAAGTTTCCTACTTTTTTATGTATTTACTACTGTTTTCAACGCTGCACTTTAAAATATGAAATTGTCTAGAACTGTTTTAAACAAAATGTATTTTTGTTTACACTTGTGCATACAAAAGGACAAAATAAACCTGTTTAAGTCTAAGTTTACTTAACCTTTTTGGCCCAGAAGTTGAGCTCTTTGCCGACCAGCTGCAGCAGCTCCGAGTGAGAAAACGGCAGGAAGTACACGATCTCATTGATCCGACCGAGAAACTCGTCCCTCCGGAAATGAGCCTATAATCACAGAGAGAATGATGACAGGTGGTGCATCTCCGGATCCAGCCATGGCTGAACTTTGGTCAAAATGAGGAGAGTTTCAGCTCACACCTTCAGGATGGGCCGAATCACGGATTCCTTGAACTGTTGGGAGATTTTAATGTCATCACTTTTCTGTACATCCTCTGGAAAACAGGAACAAAAAAAAAAAAAACAATAATGATTATTTTTATACTTGTTAGGATGAAAGAATCAGAATAAATGAGTGGAGTTATATATATTCACAAGACTGTTCATCTTAAAGAGCATTTCTCTCACCAAGGTTGTCGGCCAGCTTCCTCCGACTGACCTCCTCAGCCTCCTGCCTCAGTTGCAAAGCATGCTGGGCAATGTCATCGCTTGCAACATTTGACGTCATGATAAAAATGGCATCCTTACACTCAATGGTCTTTCCTTTACCGTCTGTGAGACGTCCCTGCAAGGGGGGGCAGCAGCGTAAAAGACAGATCAGCCAGCGGGACCAAAGCTGGGTTTAGAAAGTAAACACCTGTAAAGCGTGTCTTTGTGTGGGGACCTCGTCAAACAGCTGCAGCATGATGGTAAGAACATCAGGATGAGCCTTATCCACCTCATCAAACAGGACCACAGCGTTGGGGCATGCCTTCAGCAACTTGGTTAGCTGACCGCCTTCCTCATGGCCAACGTAGCCTGGAGGAGAGCCAATAAACTTCGCCACCTGAGAGGAAAGGATGAGAAGTAGAAAAGCTGATCAACCATCATGCAACAAAACAATCTCTTTGGCTTTATACCACCTACGAGTAGAACATCTTCATATTTCTATCACATTACCGACTCCAATGTATTTCATCTGAGTTACAAAAACCTACATAATAGGCAAGGGGTGGACCTATGAGAGAGACTGAAGTGATCCAGAGCTCAGGTGGGATAATCTGTTAACAAACGTCAGCCATGCGCTCCGTAAGATCTGGAATTTACAGAGGATTGCCTTTAAGAAAGACATTAAAGTCCTGATTTTTATTTTTTTTTTTTTTATCTTGACAGAAACAGAACTGGATGTTGGATATCTACTGAGAATGCAGAATAAATTAACTTTAAAAATCCGGAGTGATCGTCTTAAAGTTTCAATGTTAATATTCTCATATTATATAGATCCTTTTTATAAAGCAAAAGTTTCCAAACCTAGCCTTCATCAAATCAAGGATTTTTTACTGCATCAGATCACAGATATTTCTAAGGTGTTTAATACTGAATCTGTAGGCTGCACTGAAATGATTAGATGAGTTTTTTTTAGCGGTAAACATAACCCAACTCTGAATCCCTGATTAAATGTATCCATCATCAAACCCTCATAAAAAGGCAAAAACAGTTGGAGGATTCATTTTGGTTTATGCATTAATTATGAGTTCATAAACAGAATTAATCCAAAATGTCACCGCCTTAGATGCACTGCAGACAGAAAGCAGAGTTACAGCAATATTATCTGAAATGATCTCCCTTCTCTGAAACCATATAGATGTTCAACAAATTATACACCATAAAAAATAGAATTCTGCATTTGGTTCAATTAAATAATAAAAGAGTTTACCTCATGTTTTTCCTGGAACTCAGACATGTCCATACGAATGAAACCCTGCAAACACACCACAGTTAGAGAGGAGTCCTCTTTAGTTTTCATCTGAGTTTTTTCACGTTAAGACTGAACTTTCAAGACCCCATGACATTTATTGTCCTCCCAAAATATAAGATACAATCGTTCATTATGAATTTAAGAGATGGAGATTGTGCAGAAGGGTCAGTGTTTGTATACCAGGAAAATTCAGAGAATGAAAAGGATGGGGATAGAAGAAAGAAAGAAAGATGAAAGAAAGAAAGACGAAAGAAAGACAGAAAGAAGGAAAGACGGAAAGAAAGAAAGAGACGAAAGAGAGATGAAAGAAAGAAAGAAAGAAAGGGAGAGACGAAAGAAAGAAAGAAAGACGAAAGAGAGACGAAAGAAAGAAACAGACGAAAGAGAGACGAAAGAAAGAAAGACGAAAGAAAGAAAGAAAAAAAAGAGTGCAGTTAAGGAAAATGGGACACAATGAAGGAATGAGGACAGGAGAACGTTGGAAAGGAAATAAATAGATAAGGCAGGTATGGAGTCAGAACACCTGGAAAGTAGAAAGGACAGAAGGCAGGAAGAACAGAAAAAGGAACACAAGGAAGTAAGTAAGGAAGAAAGAACTATGAAAGTGGGAGATATTAAGATCAGAAGAGAGCAAAGGTGTCTGTAGAGATAAAATCTTAAAACATGATTACTTTCCCATGTCCTTATTTTGTTTCCAAACATTCTTTAAAACAGTTTCCAGACAGAGGCGGGAGCCTGGTTGGATGCTTGATGAACATTTGGAGACAAACCTGCTCCCACTCACAGTAAAACACTCGAGTATTCATGTGCAAAAACAACCTACCTTTTTAACGTCCTTGTGCATGTAGCGTGCCACCTGCTTGGCCAACTCCGTCTTTCCTGTCACAAAACAGAGACGTCACTTTTATTCCATCTGCTACAAGAGGAACCTCAGCTGCCATTTTAATTTCTTTGCATTTTACATTAAGAGACTGATTTTCCTCATTTGAGACGAAAAGACAATATTTCTCTCTTTGCTAAGTGCTTTGGCCTAAATCCCAACACAAACTCCAATAAAACATTCAATCATCTCTGCTCTCCTGAAGCACGCATTATGTTTGTTGGTAAAATATTCTGCATATAAATGCTCATATATGATATTGATGTCTTGTTGTTGGCATGCATGTGTGTGAGGGCTGTGTGGTTTGTGTCTTGTTGCTGTGTTTAATATTGATGTCTCATGGCCAGAGTTTGTCGCTGAAGGGAACAGAGGATATGAACACTGCCTCTCCCTCATCTATCTCTCTGCCTTGTCATTTCATGATCTCTCTCTTTCTTTAGCCATCTATCTGGCCCTTAATATCTCTCTCCCTCTCTCTTCCTGCTGCTAAGTTCACACTACAGGGATTAGAGGATGTTTGATCCAAATCAAGTCTCTTTGTTTTAAAAATATCTACTTTAACTTTAAAGCCCCTACTTTCACTCCAAGTATTCTTAAACTCTATGTACCGCAGTGTAGACCTGCAGCAGCAGAAAGGTGGAGCTGTTCTGTGTTCTTGTTTATTCCCAGTGGAGATCATTTCCTCAAACCACGGGCCACTGTTGATCATCTCCCTCATGACAATAATGTGTTTCAAAGAGTGGTTCTGAATGTGCAATCAGCTGCTTTTCTGACAGCTGGTGTGCAAACGTGCGGCTCATGGGGGCTGTAGCTAACAAAGCCTACAAATGGACGGGACGTTCTGCTGTCGATACTAATCAATTAAAAAAAAAAAGAAAAGAAAAAAGAGAGAGTGCTGAATGGAGATTTTGGCAAACACAACTAGGGACAATGTTTGAGCAGAATTCTCCAGTTAAAAACAAGTAATTAAAGGTAAGATGCATTTAAGGAAATTGGAAACTTTGAATTTCTGATCTGCAGCTATAGTGTCTTGCAAAAGTATTCATATCAACATAAAATAGAGAAATGGAAGGATAAGGACACGTCTGTCCTTGATGTAAAAAGGTCAAGAGCAGTCCGTCTTAACGGAAAGCCTCTGTACTGATCAAAGATTCCCAGTCTGATTTCGGTTTGGTCATTGGCCCATTCTAACAGATAATCTAAACCATTCAACTGCGGATATGCTTAGCTATGCTGTCCTGCTGAAAGGTGAGCTTCCCCCAACAGCATAATACTGCCATCACCATGTTGCACAGATGGCAGATGTGTTCAGGATGATATGCAGTGCTAGTTTTCCCCCAAAAAAGTTCAATCATGATCTCATATCTTCCCCAAGTCTGCCATCTCCCCTGCTAACAGAACCTCTTCTGATATTCTTTCAATAATGGCTTTCTACTTGCCTGCCTTCTGTAAAGCTTAGATCTGTAGAGCTTCAGAGAAATGGTTTCCTCTTGCCTACTTTGCTTAATGCTCTCTCTACAGTCTGATCTGTTAAAGGATGGAAGATATGGACGGCCATGTCCTGGTAGGTCTGTTGAGACATAACTACCACTAATATTGAGGGTTATTCTTTCAGTTGTGTGATAAATTGAGCAGCTTAAAAGCCAGGATATTCTTTAAGAATATTAACCTCATTCTGCCACTTTATCTTTAGGTGAGGTGATCTTTTTAATGAGGTTATTTCTGAAGGTAGGGGCGTTTTATTTAACTGTTATTAGAGCAAAGGCGTAATACTGATTCCTTTGGAGAAAAACATTCATTCAAGTCAGTTTTTTTTTTTATTGTGAATAAAAATACATAAATAACACTGAGGACACATATTCAACTTCATTATGTGAAATTTTCTTTCAACATCAGGTGTATAAATTACTTGGTGTTTGTTTCTCAAAACCCTAAAAAAAAAAATACTTGGAGATTTTTGGCTGCAACCACAGAAAATATGGAGAATCTAAAGGGTTATAAACATTTTTATAGAAATGTGTTATTAGTGGCCAGAAAAACTTCAAATGGAAAAGTCTGATTGTTGATGGCTGCTTGACTGGAGAATAATAATCAGCTCCAGAGATTAGTCATTTTACTACTTACAACTCTGCTGTCCTCTCTAATAATTAAACCGTATAGCGTAACGTGGTAAACACTTTGTTTATTCAATACTTGAAACAATTAAATCACAAACAGAGCAGCAAAAAAAAGAGATACTTCAGAGAGAATTATATTTGCTGAACGTAGACCGTTATGCTGTGTGTTTGTAATTCAGTTTTCTTTGTTAATTGATTAATTTCTCCTGAGAACAAGAAGGTTCTCTCTAAATGCATCAACAAATCAAATAAATGTTCCGTTTATTTTAGCTTTTATTTAAAGGAGACCGAGGAGCTCCACCCAGCTGTACACAACAACAGATCAAAGCAGGATTTAGGAGAGGTGTGACGAGAATATACCGATTCCAGATGAGCCAAGGAAAAGGAAGACGAGAGGATGCTCTTCATCGTACCAACCGTTCTCCTTTCTTCTGATGGCTAAAGAGCAGAGAGAAAGAGAAAGAAAAGAAACCATTTATAACATTTGTTTCCTTTTTCTTTCCATCAAGTTCTTTAAGTAGAACCCAGTAACCTGAGGGTGGAAGGATTCCTGAAACTTTAATCAAAGAGTGAAAGATCAGGGATGAGAAAAGGGTCATAGACATCTGAATTGAAAAAAAGAAGAAGAGAGAGAAAACAGAGCGAGACGTGAGAGCTCCAGAAAGCTACCCACGATGCATCTCTCCTCCCCCCCTCAGTCAGTGGGGCCATTAGCCAGCAGTAATTGTGTTAGCCTCTCTGGCGCGGCCATGGCGAAATCAGTTTAGCATAGATCGCAGCCTCACACACACTCTTGCTTAAAGAGGAGTGCCTACCCTACCCTGCTATCACCCCAGCAACCGAGCCCACATATACACAAAGGCAGGACGATGATGTGGATGGCAGGAGAGTAAAGAGAGTATTTGACTGTGGTTTGAGGCACTCAACAAAGAAACGGACACCAGCACAGGCTCCTCCAAATGTGAACCTGTGATTCAGGATGTTGGTGAGCTCATGAGTGGAACCAGTGGATTGATTGTTAACATAGTTGACTTTAGCAAAAGAACAAAAAAGGACCTATTTGAACTACGGAGTATGAGTCCATCAGCGTTCTATACGCGCCCTGGTTCAGTTAAACCAGATCTGAAGATAACATCGTATATGAACCAGAAATTCCAATAGAGTTATTGATGTAATGTGGCATGTTGGCCTTTTAAGGATGGGAGACATTTGTGTAAATTAGCTTCAGAGTATGGCCACAAGTCCCTTATGAGTTTTAATAACCAAACACATTCCATAAGAGCAGAATAACATCTCAAAGGCCAATCACCACAGCTGTATCAATGTGGCCCATATTGGAAAGGACTGCAATTATTTCTGGCTTATGGTGCATTTGGACCAAACCAGTTTCTAATGCCTTAACTTGGACGCCTGTGCATTGTGAGGTGAGACACTCTGGATGCTAGATGCTCCAGTTGTTGAACTGCTCTTTTCTAGAAAGCAGCATGGCTTGATTTGCTTTGATGAGTTGAAAAATAATATTTTTAGCATGTTTTTGAGCAAGAGAGTCCACCTCACTGTCATCTGTCTGTCAGTTTATCAGGATTATGATCCTGCTCCGAGCGGCAGACTCTGTATACCAGGAAGATCTCTCAAGCCGGCCAGGCTGTCAGGGATTTCCAGCTGCCGTTCATCGAGTCTGACAGTGAAGTAAAAGCTTTTTTTTTTTTTTTGATTGGTGGTTAAAACTGCAAGTACAATGATATAAAACTGAATATTTTTCGCTAACATTTTTAGTTAATGTAAGTATTTATAAGCTCTTCTGCCACAGTTCAGCAAGAAATGTTTTAGTGGAGTAATAATGATCAGAGTTCACTCTCTTTTCCTTGTACATAAACAAAAAAAAATCCTTTTTCAAACCAGTGGAGTTTAGTCCCTTTATTTTATTTATTGTTTATATGCTGACAGCGCTGCAGAAGTGATCACAGCATCCATGTAGAGTAGGTTTCCCAGAAAACTACTGGATTAGCTACTCTGATTGGTTAACGCTCCCTGTCAAGCTGCAAAAAGATTTCTGAACTCAAGCGTGAAGTGCTCTGAAGTTCTGACGTGCTGCAGGGTATCTCAACGTCCAACGTAGACTTTGCACGTACAATGGATGCTCTGACGTCTAAAGCTCTTTATCTGTCAAAGCACCATTAGAACATTTCTAAAATAGACAGTTATCACTATGAAGATGTCGTTTTAAAAAGCTAGGTCTGATACAGATTTTCTGTCACACTATTATTACAATATAAAGAACCTCTAATAACAGGTCAGAGAACATGCTGTGACCCTGCAACCCTCCCCAACATGTTGCTGTGCATTGCTTGACTGGCTGAAAGCCAGATTTCCAGAAATACTACCAATGAAAACTACGGTATTAAGGAATCGGTTTCAGAACCGCAGTGAGTGAAATGAAAGAGACAAACCTGCTGCTGTAGCAGATAGTGACTAACATGCCTGTTAAACTTGATTAAAGCTGCTGTCAAACTGTCTCATATCTTCCTATGTAGGCAGGTGTTTTAAAAGACCTATTATGTGAGTAAAGAACAGCTGAATTCTCACTTTTAGTTTGAAGCGTCCAGCCTCTTACCATCCTGCATAGAACAGCATGAGACAAGATATTTAACCCTTTTAGAGAAACTAAAAACTGTGGAAAAACAGTTTCCTCAGTTTTTACTTTCAATAGCACTAGCTGTGTGTTTTAAAAGCATAAATGGGGATGGTCTTTTCATCCATCTATTTTCAAATTCAATACAATATCAAGGAAACTCAGGCATATTTAATTTTTCCATTGTATGTAAAAAAAAAAGTTACCAGTAAAAATAAGAGAAGGCAGGCCAGACCTCAAATTAATAAATTTTTTGCATCACAGAGGAAAAACCTGATGAGTGAATATTTATCAAAAGCATCAATGATCCTTAACAATATATATATATATATAAAAAATCATCACTAAGGTTGGGCAATATGCACTTAATATATTATCACGATATTGGGTGACATTATTATGGTAATGATAAAAGTTATGATTAAAAAAAACATTTTACTTCTTTGTGGTCTTTTTCAGGTATGATGACTTACCACAGCCATCATACCCCGACAATCACAAATCATAATCTAGAATATACACATTTAAATTTAGCTTCTTCAGGATAACATTTACAAAAAAAAAGATGTATCTCTAAACATCTCATACTGTAACAAAAGCATTTAATCATCTCAATGAAAGAAAAATGAACAAAAAAGAAAAAAATTCTTAAAAAAAAAAAAAAAAAAACACTTAAAAATCAACGGGTCCGAATAAAGACAATCATCAACCAGTAAAGGTCCTGAGACATTTTTAATTAGAATCTGTTACTTTAAGCAGAATTTAACACTGAAATGGTGTTTATGCATCCATGTTATACATTGAATTTTTAAATAAATAAAAAAAATTATAAACAAACTAGAACATTTTTCCATTTTAAAATCGAATGTGTTTTTTGAAGTAGAGAACAACAATCTTTCAGTTTGGTATATATACAATTTCCTGACACTTTTTTTTATAAAACACCTGTACTGACCTTTTTTTTTTCCTTTTCTTTTTTATGATTGAATGAGAGCAGTGGGCTTTATTCTGCCCTGCAAGGCTTTAAACCTGGGTTTGAATGGTGACAAAGCCATTCTCAAGCACATATAAAGATGCTCATCTTGACCTTGGATCGATATTTATTTTGGATTATGTTCATGTTGGAGAATCCTGCTTCACAGCAGTAGTTGAGCCAAACATGCTCTAAATGTGCAGGGTCATCTTTGAGCACACAATTTCACCTTTCTGTCACCAGTTCACCGCAGTTCTTCCAGCAGTCCAAACTTTCTCTACTTTCTTTTTCCTAATCGTATCCTTCTTTCCCATCGCCCGGCTTGCCACAGGTTTGCCTGCTGTGTCTAAAAGCAGCTAGCAGCAGCAACCCAGACTGACAGCAGCTCATTGGCTAATTTACGTCACATGCAGGCTGGTGCTGGACGCTACAAAGGGCTTTACCATATTAACAGGAGAAGCGGTGCAAGTGAGGTTAAGACACTGTCTTTGGACAACACGCAGTAATTTATAAATATTTTAAATCAGGTTGGGTCTGGATTAGCCAGCAGGTGGGTCCGGATCCGGACACTGGTCCGCTAATCCGTGACCTCTGGTTTAGAGGATAAATCAAAATTATCATCATGACTTGCAACTTATCACGATAACGATAAACGATAAGATAAAAGCCCACCCCTAATTACAACCCAATCAAAGTAAAATATCAAAACATTGGACACTGCATATGTGACATAGGTGCTAAACCAGCTGATAATCGAAGAGGGAATGGAAGGAAGAAGAGGAAGAGGAGAGAGGAAGGAACAGAGATAAGGAGAGGAACAAGGAGTGAAGATGTGGAAGGAGATAAAGAAGGGAAAGACAGAGGAGTGATGGAGATAAGAAGACAGAGAATGAGGCAGAGAAACAAATGAGTGTGTCAGAAATGGACAGAGAGATGAAAAGTGACAAGAGGGGGTGGGGGTCCAAAGCTCTGTCTGCTTTATCAATGGCTGCGTGAATGACAGAGTAACCTTCTGTGTTTTTGTGTGTATTTTAGCTGATTGAGACCGACTTTGACAGAAGGGCACACTGACATTTCTGAGAGGACCGTGACAAGAAGAGGGAAAGGAAAGGGACACAAAACAAATGAGAGCTGGCTCCGACCTGCAACAACACACACACACCAACAGGGCAGTGTGTATTCTGCAGGTCTGGTTGGCCCTAACATGATTACCGAGGGATGATTCTCTTCAATAACTCTTAGCCCTGAGAGCTAAACCTGGATCAATCTAACCTCCTTCCTGTGTGTATTTATGTGGGTTTTGTGTATCTTTACTGTGAGTGTGTGTGTGTGAGTCCTGCTGCAGGCAAGCCGTTTGTCACGAGGAGTTATGGGGGAAACAACTATTTTGAAGACATGACAACACAGCGCACATTTCTTTAATCTCTGGATGTCTGGTCTGCAAAATATTTACAACAGCAATCAGTTCGGCAGACTGTCTGCAGAATTCATTTCCTCGCTCACATGCGGCGGTACAATTAGATGAGCAACGATGAAACAATAACAAGATTAATCAATAAGTTGGTATAAAACCATTTATCACCAACTGAACTACAAACTAGGGTTCTTTGGGTAATTTATCAAGAAAAATGCCAATTATTCAACATTTTTTGCTCTGCTCTTTAGTCTTTAAATTATTGCTTTTAAGCCTTTAAGGTCTGACAGAGGAAATTCTGTTTTTTTTAATGAACTTAAGCATTATAAGAGGGAAGCTGCTGTTCAGCCATAACAGTTTCTTTTGATTACGCAATGTGCCGATTCTTTAAGGTAAATAAAAAAAAGCCTGATCAAAATTTATTGTGAGACCGATTTGTGTAGAATATTACTTTTGAAATAAGATTTAGTTTTAGGACATCGTTTATCTTCAGAGCGTATTTCAAACAGAAATGATCATTTGTCAGGTGCGTTCGTAAAACAGTCTATTGTCAGGCTATTTTATTACTCTGTATAACCTGGAAAATTAATAACAAACTGGCAGACTGATCAATAATGGAAAACAAACACTAAAATCTGTTGTGGGATGGTAAACAGCTTACATCTGCAGTTTTTAACGCAGTCCTGTGCCGTTCTTATCTCTACATCCCTACATCCCCTTCCCATTTGTTGTCCTCTTATCAGGATTTTATCCTTCTCTCTTTCCTGAAGCATTTCCTCATCTGGAGATCTCTACTACCCAACATGGACTCTCCCAGAGTTTGATGGATGGTACAGCCTTTGATAGAACTGATTGAAAGCAGCTGACGCAGGTACTAATGTTCACAAGATAATGTGGGGCTTTGTACATTTTGTTGAACACAAATTTTCTAAATCTAGGCCTCTTCTTCCTTTGACATTACAGTGTGAAATCGTTACTGTATTACAGTACTCCTTTAAACCCTGAGATTGTTCTTACTTGGACTATAAACATGACTCGACACAGAGATGATTGTTTTCTCATTATAAAGCTGAAAAAGTTTGTATATCTATCTTGACTAGCTTTTTTTAATTTAGTGTCATCCATTCTAAATGCTTAAGGTTCAACATGATGTTGGTCCACCCTTTATAGCTTTAACAGGTTTAATGTTTATAGGAATTTCTGAACTTTCTTCCAGAAGTGCATTTCTGAGGTCATAGATTAATGTTGAAAAGCAGGTCTCAGAGTCCCTTTGTATCTTTGCTTCTTTCTCCATGTCTGCTTCTGTTTGCTTTAACCCCAGTCAGCCTCGGCAGATGGCCGCTCACACCAAGCCTGGTTTTGCTGGAGGTTTATTTCCTGCTAAAAGGGAGTTTTTCCTCTCCACTGTCGCTACAAGCATGCTTGGTGTGAGGGATTGCCTTCGAGTCAATGAGTCGCTGCAATCAAATGGTTTTCCTTCGATAGAAAACTTTGAATCAATTTGACGGTAGGATCTGGTTGAATTGTTTCAGTAAAGTGCCTTGAAATAACATGTGTTGTGAATTGGTGCTATATAAATAAACTGAATTGAATTGAATGAACTAAGCCGCCAAGCCCAGGTGCTGAAAAATAACTCCTCATTACATTATCCAGCTCTGGTCAAACTTTACACTGGACACAAAGCAGACGAAACTGTTCCCCTGGCAACAACCCATCCGACACTCATCCATCAGGTTGCCAGATGATGGACAAGACTAATTTGTCACTCTGGAGAAGGCGTCTCCACTGCTCTGGAGTCAGGTGGCAGCCTGCTTACATCACTTGATTCAACGCTTTGCATTGTATCTAAAGATGTATGGCTTGGATTAAACTACTCTGCCATGGAAACTCATTCCATGAGGCTCTATGCACTACTCCTAAACTAATCTGAAGGTCACTTAGAGTTAGGAGGTTGATTATCCTAAGAGAAAGTTGGTGCCCTGCGCCTTTCAACATCTGCCTGCTGTTTTGTCAGATTACATGGCCTACCACTTTAGGGCCGAGCTGCTGGTGCTCCCAATGGTTTCTATTGGATGTAGTACCACCGATGAAATATTTAGAAGTGAGGAAATTACACAGCTGGACTTGTTGCACTGGTGGCACCCCATCACAATACCACCCACTGCAAACAAAACAGTCGGTCTGTCTTGATTCTTGATTTTAAACATCTATATGGAGGTAATTAGAACATCAGATTTTAAATATTTAGATTAGTAAAAAAGGCATTTGGCTATTAAGTGTATCAAGAAAATGTATATAAAAACTGAAACTTTCTGACTGCAAGGGTTAAACAATCTTTAAATCTGAACTTAGATAACCAGCTTAAGCTCACCGTGTTCCAAATACAATCATAAGATGATGACCGACTGGTTGTTCAGAAGGCCTCATCGTAAGACCTTTAAAAAAGCTCTGCCATGACAAATGAAAACAGGAGAACTTTGCCAAATCTGGGAATTTAACTGCAACTTTATACTTTAGCCAAATGCAACGAAGGTTGAACTATTGAATAAGAAAAACTAAAATGGAGGAACATTTAAAACAAGCGCCTGATGCCCACTGTTAAGTACAGTGGGGGATGTGTATCGCTGGGGCCCTGGGGACCATTATTAGCAAGCATGGGATGGTTAATACTTTGAAGTACTAGCTATTGATAAATTAACTAACCAGGTCTGCCTAGTGTTCCTATGGAAAACATGTGGGGTGTTCCAAAGTGTCCTATCGGCAAAGGTATACAAAAAATAAACAGCAAAGATGCAAAAAATGCCTACACACTTGGAAATGAATTCGCTTTAAAATCTTTAATGCTTCTAAGGGATGCAAACAAGTGTAAATGGGACGGTATGTTTTGGGGACCAAAGCTGTAAATGTTATGATATCTTCTTAAGCATTTTCTATAAATTGGAAAACAAATCCATTCAATATTTCATCAAACACTACAAGTCTCATGGTTATCCTGTTCTGAGGCTTGTTTCCTCTCCATTACCACTTTACATAAGTTTGTTTTCACCAAAGTTTCAAACAGATGTAAATCTTACTCTCCTGTTAGATATTACCTCTGCAGTATCTGTCCTCACTACAGACTAATGTCTCCACCTAGTTTTAGTAATAAGCTCTACACAAATCTAAAAAGAAAATGTACAACATTGTAAAGATAACAAACGGCTCGTCGGTAGGCAGCAGAAGCGTTTCTGAACATTAACTCTCACTCTCTCATCTGCAGATCAATACCCCACATGGCCTCCATGGATGCTCCCTGTAATATCAGCTCTTTACTGTCTTCTGTGTTATTGTGCTCTAACTCATCCAGCCTCCTCCTTTCTCATCACAGCTTCTCGTTCTCCATCGGTTCCAACCGACGGGAAGGCGTTTTTCTTTGCGTCCGTTTTAAATCATCTTCCATCATCCGCGTTCGTTTCTGTCACATGTAGTTTGATGGAGGGTTGGTGCACAGATTTAGAAACCAGTAGAAAAAGAAAAGAAGACTGAAGCAGAGAGCAAGTGAGATGGAAACCAGGACAAGGAGAGAGAGAAAAATAGAAAGCTAAGGGGGGAAAAGAGAGATGAGGAAAGGGGGTAAGCAGAAAGATGGAGGGAGCAGAGAAGGAGGAGGAGTATGGGGTCTGTAGTATGTATCCTCTCTTTCTAATTGTGTTAACTGGCGGCTCCAAGCCTGGCCTCTTCAGCTGTCTCAGTTGCACACAAACACATATACACATGCAACACCTGTGCACATCTGACAGACAGCTCATTCATCACAATTAACCAATTACAGCCTCCGCCAGTCTGTCTAATCCCGCCTACAGCTGCAGGGAAGAGAGGAGAACAGGAGGAACAACAGAGAAGGGTACAAAACACAAACAAGCAGTTTGTTTTCTGTATGCACTCTCTAATATCCCTTTATAATTGTCTCTGTGTGAATGTGTACCTGAAGCCACTGTATTGATGGCCCCTTCCTGACCGATGATGTGCTCCTTCAGCCTCCTCTCCAGGGGAAATCTCCTCCTTTCCTCTGCCTCCCGACGCTCTTGCAGCTCCTTAAACTAAATGGAGACGAAAAGATCAGCTCACAAGAGAGTTAATGAGTCTGAAAGAGGGGGGGGGGGAGATGTACGAGACATTGTTGAGGGAAACTTGAAGCTTTCAAACTGAGGGAAAAACACTAAAATAAAGAACTAAGACTAATCATGCTAGTTTTACCCAGGAACACCTTCTGGCTGCAGCTTCTCCCTGCTGCTGTCTTTGATATGTGAAAAGCATAAAGTCTTCTCTGGGATGTAGAACTAAAATGGCTGTTCCTAATTTTTAGACATTTTATTTTACGAGTCAAATATCAGGGCAGTAGCTACAGGTTTTGATACAAGATTATGGACTTTTTTGGTAACAAAAAAACAAAACAAACAAACATAAAGTAATGCAGGAAAGATGCACCTAAAATAAAGTTGATATTTTGCAACATTAAATAATTTCTTTTAACAATAAAAATTTGTTTAAGTATTACAAACCTTTAAGTATTACAATAAATACATAATTAAAAGTTGAATTTATGATTAATTTCCTTTAATTTGCTATAGAGGGAAGGTGAAACAGACAAGGAAACCTTTTATAGGGCCTAAGATTTAAATCGGAGTAATTGTTCCTAATCACATGCTCAGTGTTTGTAAAATGTATATATTCCTTATTAAATATTCAAATAAGTTGTACCTATGTCCTTATCAGCCATTTCTTATTCTCCTTCTTTTAACATCTCTATTTTAAAGTCCTGACTCCGCTTTCCTTTTCTACCTGTTTTTTCCTCCATTTGTTGCTTCTTACTTCCTTTGTTTCTCGCAGCCACTCCATGACTCATTTATCCTTCTCTCTTTTTTGTCTCCTTAGACTCCAGCTTTTCCCCCTGCAGTGGAGGGAGGCTGTTTATTCTCTCTTTCCATCTTGCTTAGCTGCAGCCTGCTGTCAAGCTGGTGGATAACTATGGATAACTTGAGTTTTATCGTAAAAAAAAGAAAGAGATAGAACCTGTTTCCAGTACTACACAGCACTGAAGCTCTAAAACTTTGGACACATGAAAGAACTGAATAAGAGAGGATAATATATATATATATATACATATATATATATATATATTTTTTTATTTTGTAAAGCATTATAACTGTAAATAGCAGATGGGTAATTTTCAGTTTTGCATTTTTTTCTAAGGGGCATCGAGTCTTAATTTTACTGTATCTTTTCATTTTAGAAATCAACTATAGTTCAAAGCCATGACAAGTATACAGAAATGTCATAGGCTCACCTTTCATGATATGTTTTACGGAGGGTTATAAACAGCTAAAAAATCTAATAACACCTATCACTTTCTCCATCTCCAGAGAGCTCTTACTGTGTGAGTGGAGGTCACAAGCAGATACCAACCCCCCGAAAAGGTAGCAAACGGTATGTGGGCTAACATTAAAGCGATCAACTGTTCATGCTTAAAAAATGAGCAGTGTGGATGAAATGTAAAGTACGTGAATTTAAAAACAGTTGTACCTGGAGGACTAACTGACTGACAGCTTTACATAGATCAATACAGTGACCAAGCTATACCTTCATGATGTTTGATATTTAGAGTGAAATACTTAGAATGAGCCTGGCTGTTAGATTTAAGCAATTAAACAAAACTGATCAGTAAAACTTTAAAAATAGTTCAAAATATGAAAGGAAACACTGCATGCCTGTATAGGAGGCCAATGCTTATAGCTAGGAGTGAAAATAGGAATTAAAGCAAAGACTGTATTTGGGAATTATCTATTTGTCTATTTTCAACTTAAAGCTAAAATGTGTAATAATTACAGGGTTTTACTGACAGAAGTATATCATTAGTATATTGTTTTTAGATTTTATTTTATTAAGTCTCATTCTTTACGTTTGCTTTGCCTTAAAAATTCCTATTTGTAATTACACAGGAGTGGGTTTCACATTTAGCTGACAAACTATTGACTGTAGACATCACCATTAAGCTCAAATGTAACTGCAGCAACAGTAACTTTAGTGCATGGGTCTTCAACGTTTTCAAAGCCAAGGACCCCCAAACTGATTGCGAGATGGAGCGGAGACCCCCTAATTATATATATTGTATGAAATTGTGTTATATCAAACTGCTCCTATAGTCCCTCTATTACATATAGAGTAATGTAACGAAAGTAATTTCTCCCTGGGATTATTAAAGTATTTCTGATTCCTGGTTGATGGGACAGGTGTTGTGAATGAAACGGTGCCCAGCTTGAAAGAGCTCCTCTGTGTCGCTGAATGTGTGCATTGATGACTGAAACACATCTTCTGCCTCCATTTATCTGTTTACTACAGTGTGTTGAATTCATGTTAATGTGTATTTAAAGACATTCTAATTAGTGCAAAAAAATGCAAGAAGGAAAAAAAAAAAAGTAATCAACCAAGACTTTCACGACCCCCATGCAGTACCTCTGTGGATCCCCTAGGGGTCGCGGACCCCCTGTTGAAGACCTCTGCTTTAGTGCATTTAGCTCTGAGAGCTGTAAATAAAACATTTTAGGGTTGTTTATATCACATAAACCACATAGGTATACCCCAAAATAAATATCCAAATAAATATCTAGGCTACTTCTCTCATGTTTCAAATATTGCCTCCTTGGTTCCACTCATACCGCTAGCACCTCTCCTGATTTATGCGCGGTTTGTAGGGATTTTTCATGAGATTTGTGTCGCTGCAGTCTGACACTAAAAATCACATACTGTAGCTTTAGCATTTAATAGTCAGGAAATTGTTGCATTGTTGGCTCCGATTAAACTTAGACCGGATCTACAAAATGAGATCAGAACCAGTTCAGCCAAACAACAGACAAAGCTGTAAACTTTTTCAATCTCTATCAGAACATTATGATCTGAAGACAGTTTAAAAAGTCAACTCCATCTTGATCTAACCTTGGCTCCTAAAATGCATACCTAATAATTGCTCAGACAGAAAAAACTAGACCATACTGTACTACAGTTCTGGGTAAAGATGAACTGGAATCCACTAAAATCTGTTCTAACTTTACAAAAAAAATTATGATCCACAGTGTAAAGCAGAGAGTCTGATCAGTGCATCTCTATAGAAAAAAAGCATTTTTTCTCCCCATCATTGACTCGGCTTTTTTTCCTGCACAGTTGTGACCCCAGTTAACCTCCACCAGCTTCCCAAACTTCAATACTCAATAGCACCTGTCAGTCAGTGACGACAGCGACACGGACCTCCTGAGGGGTGTCTGCCTGTGTGCACCATGTGAAGGAAATGAGACAGATGTCTGTTGAGTGAATAGACCAGAGTGTTTCAGACCAGGATGGACATTTGGAGCAACTAATCATATTCTACCTACACACACATCCTCAGAGCTCATAGCAAGGCTAAGTAAAATGAATCTTTTTGTGTTTGAATTAAAGTGAAGTGTAAGTATACCTTTCCCTCCCACTCCTGCAGCATTGTGCTCACTTCTCCCTCTTTGGCATAGGCCCGCGCCGTGTGTCCCAGGCCATTGGTTTGCAGCGGGTTGGCACCTGTATGCGTTTCAACACACATACATACATTCAGAGTTGATACATAATGATGGTGAAATCAATAACAGGGTCGTTTTATGAAGTGATTTCGCAGTCATGAGTAGTTTTCATCATATCAAAATAATGCAGACACACCACAGCAGGATGCTAAAATGGTCAATGGAAAGAACGAGGAGTGGTGAGAGGTCAAACTAGTTTAATGATTACCGAGGCTTTCTGTGGTGAAACAGAGAGCTCAATAAAGCCTCTGTATGGGGTTTCATATCTGCAACACGTGCCAATATTGCTCCCTATGACCCCCTCTGCCAACACTATGACCAACACACTGGACTGTTGACAGCAGGATGTTAAACCTCAGCAAGAGGTTAAAGAAAGGGAAATAGCAGTTAGACTATGAATGCTGACTAAGCATAATGTCACAGCATGTGCATGTATGGTGGTGTTGGATGGAGATGAGTCAGGGGGTTCAAGACTCTCATCTACCAAGAAACCCCTCAACATTTTCATATTGTGACCTGTTACAGAACTTTATCAGAACTGGAAGTTTGTGGCTTTAACGTTTAAAATAAGAATTTTAAACATTTGGGCACTGAAATTTCCCATTAAAAAGTTTAGCATGTATTTGTGTTCAGCCTCCTCTAAGTTCACACCTTTAAAAGCAGCTTTTATTGGTATTACAAGTAATACATTTGAAAAATGCTGAGATTAGCTTCCCTTTTAAGACTAAAGGGGTTCTTTAAGCAGGAATTCACTAAGCATGCATTTCAGAATTAAAACCAGTTTTTATTGGTCTGTTCTCATTTGCGGTGTTCCCCTTGGTTGGGAAGTATCTGTAAACACCACATTATGCACAATATCTAAGGCAAATATATCCTCAATTCTCTGTGTGTCCACAGGACTGAGAACAAAGGGAATGGCTGCAAATGCAAAAGGTCACAAAGTGATGAAAGCACAGACTAGAAAGAGCGAAGGAGAAAATATGCATACATATCAGCTGACATCGTCATCATTTCAGCATTTACTGACAATCTTAATTTTTGCCACAGACTCTTGAATTAAATTAGTCTAAAACACATATGATGTAATTTAAATCCATCCGTCTTTAGGTAAACAAAGCTCCACAGTCTTAAAGGTTTCAATTTTGCATTTATTTCCAGTCATTTATTCAACTCTACTAATAAACTTTCTATCTGACCTGCCTGGTGTGTTCTCCTTGGCCTTAATGATGCTGGTTGGTTCTATAATGTTCTCCAACTAACCATAGTAAGCTTTCACAGAAAAACAAGATTGATACGGAGATCAAATCAAATAAAGGAGAAATCTGTCACTTCTTAGGGTCATTAGTTACATGCAATACTTTTCTTCTAGTTAAATCCTTCTTTGTGTTGGTCCATCATATACAATCACAATAAAGTACAGTTAGGTTTGTTTAAGTAATGCAAAAGTTTAGGGGAATGAATACTATGCAAGGCAGTGTGTATGCACATATGAATAAGGTTTGATCCGTTTCAGCTTAACAAGCTGATGAGCATGGACCAGTGTACTTTAAGATGATGACATTTTACAGGCACTAAATGCATTTGATGCAAAACTGAGCTTTGTTTATATTCCTTTATTTATGTACTAACAGAAACCATAAACTGCATTTATCAATACATGTAAACCTGGTCAGTATTTATGGTGTAAAAGAGGACTCTTAACTTCAACGTTTTAATATCTCTAAAAATCAGACAAGAGTAAATTAACCTTACAACATCTAAAACTTTGACACAAGAACTGAGATATCGGTGATACCCGGGTGCGTCTGAACGATTGTGGAAAATTATCATACCCATCCACCAAAGTTATTCCTTAGCACAGACGGGATGTAATCAATGCAGGTAACGGCTGATCTTATTACTCTGAGCCAGGACTACAGAGACTAATAATCATTGGGCCGATTATTGATAAATCCTTAAATTTCACGACTCACTCCCGAAGCTATCGATCCTGACAACAATACACCGCTAACAGTCCCCCAAACAACAAAAACATGAAAGAAGAAAGCAATAAAGTACCCCACACACCACACACACACACTCGACATAATAAATAGCATCATTTAGGGCTTTAATATCAGGCCAACCCTCTGGGCCATAGTACTTTATAACAGGATCAACACCAACACGCACACATACACACCCACAGCCCAGCTGAACATTGCCTCCTTCTCACCGTCACTCACACACACATCCCTTCATTAGGAGTGCTTTAGTTATGCCTATTAGGATGCCCTCCTCTTTCCCATTTCCTCCTCCCTCTCTTTCTCTGCAGCTGGTGGGAGAGAGCCCCTGCTGTTCTTTGTGCATATGTGCTGCCCCTTGTGTCTGTTTCTGTGCAGATCTTCTGGCCTCCTACCACCTACGGAGCTGACCATTACTCAGCTCCCCTGGCCGGAGGCCTGATTTTGAACCGGGGGAGAAGATGGAGAGCTGCCGCAGGTAGGGTGGGGCGACTGCGGGACGCGGTGAAGCCTGAGGGTCGGCCTGGAGACTGTGATGGATGAAGATGTGAGCAGAGGTCCAGCTTAGGCCAAAAGAGCAAACGTGTAGCAGGAAGAGTAAGGTGGGTGCACTCAAACACAGGGGAAATAAGAAGCTAAAGGAAAGAACGACACTAACACACAGCGTTTCAAGAGGAAGACAAATAAGAGAAGCTAATGACACTTCCACCCAAAGCAGTCGCCAACAACTTTTTTTATGGCATGGTGCAAAACTAAGAAGGTAGAGAGGTAAATAACGGAAGTGGAAAAGATGAAAAGACCTCAGAAAGGGTGTAAGGTTTGTCAAAAATGATTAACACACATCAGAGGCTAATACCTCATAAAAGTCTCCAGTTTTGCATACATTTGCACAGGATGACAGCGACCGAGGCGATTGAAAGCGCTTTGACTGTAATTGGCCTCGATGGTGGCGCCAAGCCAGCGAAAAGGCCCCCGTCGGCCGGGCAACAACCAAATCTGTCATTAATCTGATTGTCTTAAAACAAATGTCTCTGCTTCGTGAAATTTCTTACCTTTTTAATTCAAAAAATGTTTCTGCGGGACATTTGATCTAGTTAGATGAAGTGATTTGTTTAAGCGTAGTCCTAGATGTGAGGTCGGGACGGGAGCACAGAGCTTTAGATGCACCATCAATCATAAACATAAGCCAGACATTAATACAGGCTTTTTATGTGGATTTTGGGTGTTTTGTCCAGAAAGGAATGTTATTTTATTAAAGATGCAATCAGCCTAAAAAGAAGCAACTGTGAGTCGTCTCCAAGCCGCACGACAGATATTAGAAAGAAATCACAGAATGTATGAATACATCAGTATGTTAATCAAATACAAGTGCAAGAGTACTGAATACATGGTATATATAATATTGCTTCATGTAAAAACACTTCCTGCAGTTGTCTAGATACCCCAAGGGCATGTTCTGAATGCCGGGTGGGTGGGAGGGAGGGGGGTGTCACAGTTCAACTAGGCCTAGCTTGTTTAAGAACAGCTCTGCTGGAAACTGAGCAAGATACGCTGCCCTCAGGGTGTGTGTGAGTGTGTGTGTGTGCGCTGGTGGAGCTGAGTCAACGACAGGTGTAATGGGGGCAGGGGAAGACGAACAAATAATGCACTTTAGATGAGTGATGTAAACCTTTTTATATCAACTATAACAACTGATACATATCTCCGTACATTACCCTTTTCCATGATTCACAGTCCATCTTTCCTTTCACATAAATAAGATCATTTTAAAAGTTTTTTTTTTTTTTTTAAGGGACAGGAATATTTCTAAACAGAAGGACAACTTAAAGAGATTTTGAATTAGCAAACCCAAAACAAATAGCTCAGAGGATCCCTTTATTTTGGCCTTTATTCCCAGGGAAGCAGAACATCTTCCATCAAATTTGCTATTCAATAATTTCTACATATATTTTTCCATACAGAGAAAAAGTTATGTTTACTGTACCGTTTGTCGTAGTAAATTGATATGTTCATGGCAAAAATGGAGCTTTAATTGACCAGCTTTACAAATAGTAATTGACTTTTTTTTTTTCCTTGCATTTTTAAGAAGCACACACTTTATTGTATTTTACTGGCTAGAATGCTGGTTCATAGTTATTAAATGGAAGAGAACATTTCCTTATGACGCGCATTTATAAACCGGCCGTCTGCATACATAGAACCTTCCTGTTGCAGCTGGGAGTCTTTTGAAGTTGTCTCTAGCAGCTCTGCTCATCTACAGGCTGATTTTTTTGCCTATTTGTTAGAGAGGATCAGTGAAAATCCATTTTCAAGACTTGCCAAAAAAAAAAAAGAAGAAAAAAAGTCCTGTTTTCAGGCTATGAAGAAAGATGTGTTCTTAATCCTAGCCATATCTACAGCATGATGCTACCAATGTCATGTCTTGTGAATAAAGTGAAAGAGATTGGTCGTTTATCAAGGGGTTGGGATTGTTGTGGCGGAAGGTTCACAAGCAGGTTTGATTGTGACCGGTTTCTTCTAAGCATCTTGCTAACCAGTTAGCAACTTATAGCTAGTACGTTCCCAAAGGGAAATTACATTGGGGCCAAGTAGCACTAAATTGGTTGACTTAGCAATGACACTGTCAAGGAAAGCTATGGTCAGCGGAAACATGCAAGAGGAGGAGAGTTTTGTGTCTGAGGTCGTGGATGAGTCTCCTCCGTCATACATTTTTTATTTAGAGGAGGAAAGCGGGGACGAAGATGTTGTGGAAGAGGACGCCAGGGCGGCAGAAGCTTGGTTTAGTGTAGAAGGCTTACAGCCGTACATGTTTGAGCCCTTGCCTCACAACGCTGCCAGTTCGGTTAGCCCTACGCCTGCCGAAGACACAGACGTCCATCTCCGTGAACACTGGGATGGCACTCAATGGTAAATGATTCTTATTTCTTATTTCAACCGTTGCGTATATTAGCTGCGACATATGAAAGACCGAAAAAATTTGATTGACAAATGACCTTTGATATATGATTTGCCGAATTTAGGTGTAAAAGCTGATGTATAACTAACTGGCCTGCATAAAATAACGAGAAAAAAAACAACAACTGATTTTTAGACAGGATTTTTTATAAATAGAAATTTTCTAAATTTTGGGACAATATGGTCTGATAAAGAGCACATTTATATATATATAAGCCAGAATGAGTTGACATTTAAATTTGATTTCCCTACGACTTTAAAAAAAGATTGCAAAGCTATAGAATGTGTCTGAATGTCTGCCCTAAAAACTATATAGGGCACTATATAGTGGTTACGCAATTTTAGATGACTGTCCGAACATCTAGTGGTTAAAAAAGTAGTGGACTCAAAATTTCCCACAATTCACCTTGAAAAGTAGTGATCATCAGTAGTTAGCAGATATATCCCAGTTTGCTTTGCGAGCTCTTCTCGCAAAGCATGATGGGATTTGTTGTAGCGTTGACAAATAAAGATGGCACAGGCACTGTGTGGGGATGCGGAGTTACGTGACCAACAGGGAGCGAAAAGTAGTGATCATCTGACAGAACGATTATTTGGGGCATTTTTACAAATAATCCTATTAAAAGCACTTCTGTCTGTGGGATTTTGATGTTTTTTTTTTTTTTTTTGCTCTCTCAGGGAAGGGATTAGAGATTAGGTGCAACGACGTACCAGCCTCCAGAAGCATGCGGACAGCCAGTGGGTCATCTGCCAATGTGGCGTAGTGAAGAGCAGTGCAGCCACGGAAACCAGCCCTGCTGCTGAGCCTGCTGCTGAATTCATCCTCTCTGGACACCAGAACTGTACAATAAAAAAACAGAAACAGGTACAGAGAAGAGAAAGGTGAAGAGAATGAATCTAAGGGAACTTTTTTTTAGACCAAACTCTGTTAAAAGTTAATCCTCTTTCCCAAATTTTAGCTCAACCATCTACCATCACAGCATAGTCCAGGATTCGTGTTCTGAAGTCTCTTGCTCTGTTCTTCTGTAATAATGGAGACGCTTTATCACCCTCTCCTTAGTTGTGTTTCATAAAAACACTCATCTTGTGCCCCTATTCTATCATCCATTTTTATTTTCTCTGTCTCTTTCCTCTCCTTCTGTGTCCATCAAACTCTTTCATCACCGGGACCCTCTTCCCTCCTCCTCCCTATAACTTGGCCACATCTATCTCCAGAGTTTCTCTCCGCTCCTCGTTTCATCTCCCACCCAGTCCCTTCAGCCCCTCCTTTCCTCCAGAACCCCTAAACATCCATATCTTCCTACTCCTCCATCTTTAACCTTCTTTCCATCCTTATTCTTTCAGTGCCTTCCTCTCTCTCTCCTTCCTAGCTTCATCAGTCTTTCCCATCCTCTCCGATACTCTCCTTCTGCAGTGTGTGCGTGAAACACAGGGTGGGATAATCATGGCTAACCCAATAAAGCGTCGCACAGACCCCCCTAGCCCATCCATCAGTGAGCGTCTGGGAAACGCTTCCCCACGCTGCGCCGGCCCCACGTGGACCAAAACCTGACAGCCATATAAATGTCTGCAATATACATATCCCGTATAAATATGTCTGCGAAACCCAAAGCAGACTGGGATGGTGGGGGGGAAACTGTCGGTGCTTATGTGTGTGCACCCTCATGAATGCATTTGTGTGAGTAACTGTGTAGCTCGGTACAAAAAAACAAATAAAAAATACATTAGTTGTCACTGAATATGTAAAAATAAATAATACAGAAGGAATCGAACATGTGCATAAATGTAAAATCGTATGCAAATGATTATGTCTCATAATATCTGCAGGTTAACATGTGTAATAAAACAAGGAAACAGACACCAGGGAGGCAGCTGTTAAGTTTCCCCACCTTCCAGAGAGTGGATGCCTTTCTCCCTAGAGGTGTCATAAACATTGTTGAAGTCATCTCCTGCATTCGGGTCGGCACCGGCTTCAAGAAGAACCTTCACCGCACTGGAAAAGAGCAGAACGACAGATTATTTCCTTCCTGCTTCCTAATTCCTGGATGCAGATGTTCTCTTTGGGGCTCAGGGCACAGAGGTAGTATTCCACACAGCAAGAGTCCTCCGTCCTTCAAAGAAATATAGTTGGTTTAATGTAACATCAGCATGTTAACAACTAGAGGCTCATGGACATTTGCTTTGTGACTTTTTCAGGGAGTCCCTTTCTTTAAACCGTCCAGATAAAGTTAGCTAAAGCTACAGACTTTTTTTAGCCCACATGTCCAATTTTTACCTGAGAGACATTATAAGTCAGTTTGCCCCCTTCTAATCAACTCCACTAACCTTTATATCTCGTTCAAAGATCAGCAGACATCATATTGGACCGTTTTCCAGTCATATTTGGAAGGTAAAGATGTATTTTCCTTCCTCTTTTTTAACTTCTCTCCAAACACATCATGTTTGGATACAACCGTTAATCTATATTGGCTTATTTAAAATCAATCACATCAGAGCAGATTTTGCATTTTCTAATGAAAAAACAGACCGTCATTCCATTAAAAATGAACGGTTTGTGTGTGTGTGCGCATATTTTTTCAGCTTTAGGGATAATATCCTTTTTAAAGTAAATACGTTATTATGCGTATTATATAGGGTATTTGGTGTTGGTCCTTAAGGTCTCTGAATAGGGTGTCTAATATTGGTTGGGCTGAAAATGGCATATTTGCTGTTCTATGAGCCCTAATGCAAGCCTGGTTAAAAGCCCTAGAATGAAACAAAAGGTTTTCTTCCTTTTATGGTATGATCATGAATATTTTGATGAGCTGTGCGCTGATTGATTGGTTTTATAACGAGCGAAGTTGCTGAGCAAAGACACATCATAGCAACAAGCACTCACTCACTCACTGAAACATTTAATTGTCGGTCGACTGCAGTGCAACAAAACCGAGCCGTGAGCTCCGGCGCTGGTTGAGACTGGAGACGGAGCGACCGAACCCGACCTACCCGGTGACGGTAGTCCGGACAAAGGCGGCCCCGGTAAGGCAGGCGAGGGGAAGCATACCATCACTGGGTCAGGTTCGGTCGCTCCGTCCCCGGCCGCCTGGGTTCCATGCCTGTAGAGTCTTAGGATCCTTGGGAAGACTGTGAAAATGTTCCCATTTCTCCCTGGAACACTGCTTTTACCCCCGTGTTTCTGGCTAATTTTCAATAGAGAAACTGCCTGCTTTGTAATTCTTGTAGAAGTAAACCCAACAACCAGTGAGCTGGTCTGTATGTCAATTTTGGTGCGTGATAAAAGTACAGGCCAGAAGCAAATAAGGCAACATCCCCGAGTTGACGTCAATTCAGTGCTTTCTTTGAATTCGCTTGTTTTTAAGTCAAATTTTCTAATTGTAAGATTTGCAGAGAAAGAGGTGTCGATTGGGTTTGAACTTCTCTGTACGTCAGTTTCGCCGACTGAACTATCATTATTCATCTATGACAATGTAAACTCGGTTTTGCATTCTATGACCCCTTTAAAAATAATTGTATAATTAGCATGATACTATTGTATTTATGTTTCAGGTTATTATAACCAGCTCTCTACACCTGGACCTAACCGTAAGAAATGAAATTATACATTCATCAACATAAAAAAAAAAAAAAAATAGTAGATCAAAAAATATTTTGTATTATTGCTTTCACTCTTTCAGGTCTTTTAAATATCTCAACTCAACCAGCAGCTAAATAATGATGCTTACAGACACTAAATGTGAGATTCTAACAGAGTGAATCATATTTAACAGAATCTAAATCAGCGCTTTAATCAACGGGTCAGTGATTGACCTGATCTAAACACAGTTTTCTGACATTATTCAGCTACCCACCGTCTTCAAACACAGTAGTAGCTGCTTTCTACATTCGTAGTTCCAAACACATTCTTATGCAATAAGCTGAGGCATATTCTTTGAACAGATGGTTGCCTGAACTCATCTGAGACATCTTCTATTCCATATATTGGGTTTCTACCAATATGCTTTACCTTTTTATTGCTTTCTAAAGTCTTAAGGACAGAGACATGCAGATGCACAAACAAATGCATCAGCTGACCATCACATTTGCAACTGATTCCCTTCCATCCATTCTGTCTCCTAATAGCGGTCTCACTCCAATGGCTTCTTCCCTCTCTTTTCCTTTTCAATTCACATTTGTATGTCTTTTAACACGTACATATGTGCAGAGTGAGGGGCCAAGGGTCGGGCCCGTTTCCGGCACTAATGGGGGGGCCTGTGTGATGAGGTGGGTATATGTATGTAGCCCTTCACTGGAGCGTACCGCCTTTTAGAGCAAACACAACAACCTCGGCAACACCACTGACTGTGACCTAGCGGAAATTTCAGGTACCATCTCTCCGTCTGTTCTCACTTTTGTTCACTACCGTGAACATGGGTGTTGGCTTTGACCCTGAGACACATCAACACACAAAAACAAAAAACTATTTTCTGAATGTGCGCCGGTGGTGTTGACAGGATGAGGGAGATGGTAGCTAAAAGCATGAGCTCTACATTTATGGTGCTGAAACTAGGAAACTGTTATGCTGAAGCTTCCAACTCTTCGCCGAAATTTATTCCAGAAACAAGCAAAAAGGAAGGAAAGGTTGTAAAAAAGGAATAATGGAGGAATAAAAGGTTTTTCCAAACTTATCCGTTTTTTTTATAGTTAAATCTACACCTTCCCAAACAGAGTATCAACCATTAAAGTCGTAGGGAAATCATATTTAAATGTCAAATCATTCCGGCTTAAACATTTTTAAAAATGTACTCTCCATCAGACCATATTGTCTAAAAATTTAGAAAATTTTTATTTGAAAAAAAAAAACCCTGTCTTAAAATCTGCGCTGTTTTTTTCGTTATCTTATCCAGGCCAGTTAGTTATACGTCAGCCTGAACACCTAAATTCGGCCAGTCATATATCACCGGTCATCTGTCAATCACATTTTTTTCGGTCATAGCATCTTGATTCATATGTCGCAGCTAATATACACAACGGTTGAAATAAGAATTATTTACTTTACCATTGAGTTCCATCCCAGTGTTCACGGGGATGGACGTCTGTGTCTTCGGCAGGCGTAGAGCTAACAGAACTGGCGGCATTGCGAGGCAAGGGCTCAAACATGTACGGCTGTAAGCCTTCTACACCCAACCAATTTTCTGCCACCCTGGCGTTCTCTTCCACAACAACTTCGTCCCCACTTTCCTCCTCTAAAAAAAAAATTTACAACGGAGGAGACTCATCCATGACCTCCGACAAAAAACTCTCCTCCTCTTGCATGGTACTGCTGTACTTGACAGCATTGTTGCTAAGTGCTACTTGGTTCCAATGTAATTTCCCATTGGGAATCTACTAGCACTAAGTTGCTAACTGGTTAGCAAGATGCTTCCGAGAAACCTGCCACAATCAAACTAGCTTGCGAACCTTCCGCCACAACAATCCCGCCCCCTTGATAATCGACCAATCACATTCACTTTATTCACTCGTGTAAAGTCGCGCAACACTCGGAATTCGGAAATGCAACAGTTGGAACAGCCGCTTCCCTACAACTTTAATAAGAAATAAAGCCCCTGAAATATTTGCAGCTCTGACCTTAAGGGCCTTAAATTAGGAAAATAGTGCAAATTTTATTTAGATCCTATAAAGATTTAAAAAAAAAAATAGAAAAGAAATAATAGGAGAGGGCCCTGAAGCCTATATGTGCAGCTCTTGAACTTACCTGACATACCACAAGGTGAATACATTGAAACATATTATTTTAAATTAATCATAAGAAGGTTCCAGGTCCAAACTTTAGTAATAGTTGTGAAGTCAAGTCTGTTTTTTACTTTTATTGTTTGTTTGAAATAAGGTGTTATGAAATGAAATTATGATAGAATATAGGTTATAATGGCTGAAGAAACACAAGGAATCAGGTTAGGGACTTTCCTAAATTTCTGATTTTCCTTAAATAAAGTAGCTACTTTTTGTTATTTGTACTGCAGTGTAAAAACTACAGATCATGCAGACAGATGTGGATGTGAACATTTGGACAGATCTGTGTGTCTGCCATGGTTAAAGACCTATATAAGGACTAGCAAGAGTCTCCTTTTGTTACTGTATCAATGTTGCTTGGGGTGGGGTAAGGTGGGGAAGGGGGGCATGACCCACAGGCGGTGACTCTCGCACCCTTGCAAGCACTTCTACAAACACGGCAAAGACGACTTTTTGGCCACACAATCTCAAACCAAGTTTGGTCACACGAGGGTGGGCAGGACTGTGTGAAGAGAGGAGCGAGTCTGAAAAGGTTTAATGATATAAGAAAGGTAAACAACCGGGGAGGATAAAGAGAGCAAAACTCCAGAGAAGGATGAGAAGGAGGGCATGAAAGGAGGAAAACAATGCTAAAAAGAAGAAAAGGGAAGGAGATTTAATTAAGCAGGACAGTGGTAAAACTAATGAGCTTTTAAAAGCAGTTTATAGTTTTACTAATCAACTGATGAGCAAGTGTCCAAGTTTATTAGGACAATCAGCAGAGGAGTAACAGCAGTGGTTTGAAGCCAAACTAAAGATATAGAGCCATTAATGAGGTTGAACTCATTTTTTAAAGGATATTCTTTTACAATTAATCAAAACGGTATTGGAAAGAATCAGTCTTTTGTTAGAAATTTACATTTATTAGACATTTTAGATTTTAAAGATCTTTGAAGTCCAAGAAAAACAGGTCTGTAAACTAAAACGTTTGCCTGATCATTTGGTATGCAAAGACACTTTTGTGCATTTGTGTTATCTTTTCTCTGTGGGAAAGAAACAAGAGGAGAGTAACTGGCATGTTGCAATAGTATTTGTCGCTGTGCATCATGATGATCAGTTACTACTCCAACAATGTAAGCGTGCCTGCCTACATCAAACACCAACAAAACAATTCATGCGTGCAGGGGGTCAGACTAATAGATGTGCCTCAGAGGAACCAAAGGAGTGAGCCGTGATTGAGATTTCAAGATGATTAGAATAATTAGAGACGTGACTTAGATTTGTGCCCTAAAGACTACAGATCTGACTTGGACTCCTGCTCTGAGACTCCAGTTTTTATTACAATGTAATAAAGAGTGAAAGGAGGCCGTATGTGAGCTGCAGACTGCAGCTGTTCTTCTGTTTCTTAGCTAAGGATGTTGGTGAAAAACGGCAGGGAAGAGAGACACCTGAAGGTGTTTCAACTAATAAACATGACTTACCTCCAGCACATCTAACGTTAGGCTAGCTGCACATTCTGGCAGAAAATATAAAAATAAAATCGTCTTCCATTTACATTTTAACACTTGTTTATTTACTTACTATACAGTATCTCTTGCATTATGTTCAGTATTAATAGTTAAGAACTAAATTATAAATGAATGTGAAAGAAAAAATGGTTTCCCTAATATTAAATTCTCTCTTTTTTATGTGAGAGCAAAGTGTTAACTTATAAGCTAAAAAAAAAAAAAAAAAACTTTGCCAACAGATATCCCTTTCTATTATTTTGTATAAGGATAAAGACATTTTTAGCCTTTTTCAAATGTGGAAAAATTACATTTGAGTGATTGTGAAAATAATATAAATCAGGCTCAAGCAGATTTTAAATGGTAATAAAAGGTTAGATGATTAAAATATTAGTAAGATTAATTTCCTAAACACTGAGATTATTAAAAGTCTTGTCATGATTTAGGTCAAAGGACAAATGGTACAGTTTTAGTAGAATTCTAACTTTTATTATTCTGTTTAATTAAACATTTATTTATACAGGCAGCCTCACATAACTAAAATATGTTTTCATTTAAAAAATAGACTTAATAACCTAGAGTGATGCAGAGATGGATTAAATGTCATCAATTCAATGGTAAAATATAATGATTTTTATGTAATTAGAAATAAAATATTATAAGTTCAGTCTTCAGTTAAAATTTCCTTTCAATAATTTTATAATTTTTCAATAGAACTTATTTTAAACAGTCATGATAAAGCTGTTTTATGATTTGTGTTGCCTTTATGCTTTTTCTTCTCTCTTACAGCACTTTGAATCATTATGCTCCTGGAATTTTTTAAACCATTAAACTTGCCTTGATCTGGACTTAGGATAAGAATTTGAAACTGGACTGACACAGAAAATGACTCGGACTTAAAAGCCAAGGAAAGCTTTGATAAAAAGTGTTGGAATTTAATTTTCACTCTGAAGAAACTGAGCAAACTGAGCCAAACATAAACACAGATGAATAACATACAGAGACACACTTATTAGCCGTCCATTGCTGTCACACATGCAGTGTGACACACATTGCCCACCCATATCAGTATGTGTTTACATTATTGCTGATTAACACGTCTGTTAAATCATCTACAACCAATATAATAGATTATAATCTGGTTGAGTTGTTTCTGTAAACTGCCTTGAGATGATGTATTACGAATTGGCGCAATATAAATAAACTGAATTGAATGGAAACTGAATTAAAACCAACCCTAAATGTCAGTGCTAACAAACTAATAAAACCTAGACTAGACTAGAAACTTTTCTATGAGCTACAGAGGTTAGCATAACGCTCTTCAGTAGCCTCTATCATCTTCCTACCAGCAGGTGAGAGGCACGGAGAGGCTGGTGTTAGTTTGTCATCCAGCCCTGGAGGAACCCAGGAAACAAAGACTTCCGCCTCCCTTGTTCGATAAAAAGACACCTGAGCTGAACTGACCATCCATGTCTGACACCACCTGGACCAGACGCCCGACCTCACTTGACCCCAACCTCACCTAATTCACACCTGGGGTCAGAGAGAAGGCAGACTAAAAAGGTTTCTACTCACTGTATTACTAAAATTAGCTGATCAATAATATTCTTGTGACATTAAAACCATCTTTAAATAGTATTACTATGAGCTATTAAAAATAAAGTAATCGTAGATACATTTGGAGAGATATTCCATATATGGAGGCTGATTATATCATAGCAGCTAATCCTTTAATCCCTCTCTATCCTCCCAAACCCACTCATTCCCCTAGTGCTCTGCTTTGGGTCGTTTCTATCCCACTCCCACCCATCCAGTCGTCCAGTGGGCTGGGATGGTCAACAGGCGTTACACTTGGATAAGCCCTCATTGTGCACGTGAATGCAGCTAGGGAGGGATGAAGGGAGAAAAAGAGAAATGGAGATGTGCATTGTGTGTTAAAGAGTGCAAACAGAAGTCCTCCCCGATTTAACCCTACATCAAAGTTAAGCAAATGCCCACACACACCCCCCAAATCCAACCTTAACTCCACCATGACTTCCTCCCAGAGCCACGCCTAAACGTCTGGATGGAAGGCTGCGTTTTAGATTCAACACGCACCGAGATTTTAATCATCCTTTAAAACCTGCACATCTTTATTTACAAATCCCACTTCTGGACCAAGAAAAAAAAAAACAAAAGACAAATATTGCAAGAAAAGTACGGAGTAACTCAAGAATGAGATCCAAACTGACATTCTCGCTACAGGCTAGACCTTGTTCATGACTAATGTTCCCACTGTTTTCACTTAACAGCTGCAAATAAAGTTGTGTGCGGCTGAGTAATAGGCAGTTGGCCTGTAAGATATTTGGTATAACCTCCCCTTGTTTCCTTGCTCATGTGTGGATGTTGTGTGAGCGCACACAAAGTGTGTGTTTGGGAGCTGGATATGAGTGATGCGTAAGGACCAATGTTCTGTCTTCCCTGCAGCAGTGACGGCACACTGGGGGGTTGGAGGACTGGATTAAACACAGAGGAGTGTCTGTCTTGCTGAGTTATAGCACTCATAACACAAACACACACACTTCAGTGGCACACAGACAGCGGGTGGAGGGACACAAACAATCAAACGTATATCCAAAAACATTAGACAAACCGAGAGACACGTCATTAAACAAAAAGTGACAATCAATCAACACGTTAATCCAGAGACGATCAGCAAGAACTCGGCTTCCAGCACCATTTGCTCCAGGAGAGTCTATCCTTTTCCCCCCTAAAATAAAGAATCTGATTGGGTTGATAAGTGGAGGACGGATGAATGGGTAAAAATGATAGATTTAAAAATGGATGGAGAGATGGCCACCTGGCAGAACAAACGGGCAGATAACAGACTAACTAGCTGGACAAAGCAGACTGGCGAACGAGCAGAAAGCCAATGAATGTTCAGTATTGTCCCTTTGGAGCCATTTTCATATTTAGATTTCACACAATACTTCTCTCTCATGGAAACGCTTTAACCAGTAATGTGGCCTCAGAGTCCTGATGGAGCAAAGAAAGAAAGAAAGCCTGGGTTAAATTGGATTTGGCCCGGTCTTAACCTCAGCCCCTCTCTGTGTTATGTGTCTTCTGTGGGCCAGGAGGCTAATTGAATTATTAGGGGAGCGGGATGGGGTGGGGTACGGGTAAATGCCGTCTGTCAGTCTGGAAGTTGCACTTTGTCACTTTCTGAAGATGTAACAGTAAGAACTGTGGCAGGAACACGGGTGACATATGTTCGCTCTCTTAACCGGTGCCGGCAGCTGTCCGACACAAAAACCCCTACATCACTCTAACATGCGCAAACAAGAGGGCAGTGGGGTCGGGAGCTTTAGGACGCACGACTGGTTTGGGAAGTTAAGGAGGGCAGAAACGGTCTCAGACCTGTGCTGTCTGTTCATCGCAGCCACCATGAGAGCCGTCCACCCCAGGCGGTGGCGCTGGTTTGGATCCACGCCTTCTTTTATTAGCCTGAGGGGAAGAAACAGAAGGAAACAGATTTGTTAAGCTTTCATACAGTTGGAGATTGTAGACGGCAGCAGACACAGAAAATAAAACCAACTCCACACTATGAAAAAAGGCCTATTCTTGACTAGTTAATACAGCTATAACTAAGCCAGGTGTGTTTGAGGTGGGGGGATTGTGCCTCAGGGTACACCATCAGGTAATGAAGGCCACTGTCCTGTTAGTGTCTGTGAAAGGAATCCTCCTTCCACCTCTGGTGCCGATCAGACAGGCAGTGTCGGTGTTTACAGTCAACACTGTGGCCCCTATGTGCTCTGCTCTCAGCTCCGATTCACTCCGGCTCCGTTTTCCCTGCCTGCTCTGCATCAGGTAGCAGGGCGAGTGAATCGGATCCAATGGTCCGACGCTGCAGCTGCAGGTTGGCCTTATAGAGCAAACCAGCTGTTTGGGATCAGATGAAGTGCACCGCGCCTTAAAGCTAAAGACAGGAAAACGATCTAGAAAAATATTTTTTTTTCCCTGAATGCCCAATTAGATCAACTTTTTAAAGCCAAATCTATTTTACATCATTACTGTTTTTCCATATTTCACCAATATATTGTGATCAAATTGAATTTTCCACAACGGATGGATGGATGGATGGATGGACAGTCAATGGGGCTAAAAGAGAATAACGCTTAGAGAACCAATCATGTTTCATGCTGTTTTTATTTTCTAAATAAAGATTAATCAAGATTGATAAAATTGTTCAATTAAATCTTATATTTTCCCACACCTAATATAAAATTGTTTAACCAGGTTAGACTCCTCTGGAGGATTCATGCTGTCCATGTCATACCAGAACACCAAGAGTAAACAAAAATAAAAAAAAGTCAACAAATACACTGTTTTGAGATTTTTTTTTTGTATCTCAGCACAGATTTTAATTAAAACATATATATTTTTTAGTATAATTACAGAACCACGCCCTAAGGGTGCTGGGTTCTGTAGAGCGGGCGTTTACAAAGAGCCTCTCAGCAGACCCACCCAGACGCTTCTGATAACTCAACCCAAGCACTTAACACATCTGTGACCTGTTGGTCTGCTGACTCCCTGCACTCTCGCCTACACCATCTGCCACATGTGGAAAGGTAACACTAGCCTGAAAGTAGAGCCGCACATCTGCACCCACATCTGCACACAACAAGATATGGGAATTTAGAAACCAACGTCCTGAGCACACGGTCAGCAAACAGTCTCCTGATGTAAACATTGTCCGTTATTCAGTAAATAACATTAACTCAGACTCAGTTGTACTGAAAAATGTGAAATAGTTCCTATTTTTAGATATTTGATCAATAAATATGTATTTGAAGGCAATTTTCTGCAATAAAACCCCTCACCACAAGAGATCCAACTCAGATCTACAAAAACGTTCCCATAATGATCACTGACTTTAAAAAGTTGCCCTCTACAACACATCCCTTCTCACAGATGTAAGGAGAAGATCTCCTGAAGTTCGAGATCAATCCTCCCTACAGAGAACAGATGGTCCTATTCTGCCACCTGGTGGTTTATGATGCATCTGCAGCTACAGGGCAGAGGAACAGTACTTCATAACAGATAACCCAGACTGTTCCTGTGAACTGCCTTTTTTGTTCATCAGCTGGATTAAACTCTCAGATCTCCAAGATTGTTGACAAAACAATGAGATAAATTGTTAAAAACAAGCAAACAAACTTTATAGAGGTGTATGAAAAGCAAATAAAGCACTAGTTACATAGTAAATACAAAATAAACCTGCTTAACCTCCTTATCAAGAGTAATAGAAGAAAGAAATATTTTTAAATAAAGTTTGTGTATGTTAAAAAAAAGCTAAACAAATATCACAATTACCTAAGTTACCTACAACCAAGAAGTGTCATAAATAATGACTTGTCATTATTATAAGCTTTACAAATTCATAGTCTATAATTCTTTTGTAGCAGAATAATCAGTAGACAGTAGTTTTAACGCTCTCTAGTATGATCTTAAAACAATATTTCCCCCAATAAACATTTTTCAACATTTAAGCTGTAAAAATATTTAGGAAACAAAACAATCATTTAGCAATCCCCCAGTATTTCATAGGGTTTTTTTTGTTTTATTTATTTCTTATTTTTTTGCAACCACTACCTGAAATAAGGCAAATAACTTGCTATAGTGAATGATAAACCATGCGTTTATGTGTGAACTTTGTTTGTACCTGGACACATCTTGTGCATTATTGATTCTTGCTGCCTCCAGAAGAGCATCACCTGGCAATTTTCAAAAACACGGCATTAATATTAGTACACAATAGAAAGCGGTGGGTATCATCAGTTATTGTGTCCAATTTTTATTCAATAATATTTATAAATCTTTCTGGCATACTTGTGTATTTTTGAGAATCTTTTTATATTTTTATTGAAAATACAATTAACTATTAAGTGGCTGTTCGACATAACTGTGTACCTTTGTTATCTGAGTCTTTCCTCAGGCAAAAGGCCACCGCTGCGGCTGTCAGCACCCCAGCTGAGGCCAGTCCGGCTCGGCTGGCATCTCCACCTGAACCCCGGCTCCCGCTTCCACCGCTCTGCTTGCCGTCCTCCCAGTATTGGTTGTTTTGGCGCCCTCTGCTGGCCAAAGCCGCCCATGAACTACGGCGATTCTCAAGGTTTGACAGCCATCTTGGGGCGAGGTGGTGGTACTGCACAGAATGGTTCACGCTGGTACCAGCGGTCTCCTCTGACAAAATCCCCCTCCTAGAGACCCGGGACGTGGATACGATGGGGTTGCGGTTGGTCTCCGCCGGTGTTTGAACTGCGGCTCCGCTGGCGCTGGTCTGAAGCACCCGAGCACACGGTGACAGGCTGCGCGACCTTCGCGTCAGTAGTCTGGTTGGAACGGATGATAACATTGCAATAAACTAAAACAACAACCTGAGATGTAGATAAAATCCTTAGCAGGAGAGCGACCGATGAGCTTTATATTCCGTGAACCAAAAGCACCGCGCCGGTTCAGGTGTAGCTTCCTCCGCTCTTTAAACAGCCATGTAGTTAACTGAAAATAACCGTTTCACCTCATCTAGCCTGGACGTCACTGGAACCCGCGGTGCATTCTGGGAAATTGGGTTCTTCTAGAAAAAATGTGTAAACGGCGTTTGTTATGACGAAATGTTATGTCACTCAGCTGTGACGCTTTTATTTGACATTTGCTTTACTTTGGCTAAGATTTAGAAAAAAAGGATACAATTTTTGGCCAACTAAATTGAAAATTAACTAATTTGAGAAAGAAAAATATTATTGTATGTAAAACAATTGTTAAACTAAAACGTTCATTTATATTTGCCATGTATGGGGCTCAGCTTATGTTGATAGTATTTATTAAAATGAGAAAATATATTTAAGCATTATAATCCTGTGGTAATCTTTAAAAGAGTGTTCTGCAGAGTACGGAAGAGGATTAGGACCCCTGGAAAATAAAGTTAACAGATTTTAAAAAATATTATTTCAGTTTAATATGGGAAAAATTCAGAATTTTGACTTTAATCTCAGAATTCTGACTTTTTTTCTCAGAAATCTGACTTTGTTTCAAAATGCTGGCCAGAAAAAGTCTAAAAGGAGAAAAAATAATGACAAGGTCCCCTTGTTCACCTACAGTAATCTGAACCTTGAACTTCATGAAATGTGAAATCTACAGGGAGGGAAAACAGTCCACCTCTCTGAACAGTGTCTGGGAGACTGTGGAGGCTGCTGCACGCAATCTGGATCACAAACAGATCAAGACACTGACAGAATCTATGGATGGAAGGCTTTTCAGCATCATGGTGAAGAAATGTGGTTATATTGGTCACTGATTTGTTTTTGGGGGTTTTTTGGCTTTTTATTAATGCCACAACTGTTGATTTCTGAATTTTGAGTGTTTATATTGGTTAACCTGGTGAAAACAAACAAGTGAGATGGGTATATATTTGTTTTGTTTTTTTACGTGGCCTAATAATTCTGCACAGTATATATTTACCTGCACACACGGACATTCTCATAAAATGGCCAAATCTAAACAAAAACAAACAAAGAAAAAAAAAATCAACTTCCAAAAATATAACACTTTGACATTAAGGATTCTTTTGGGTTGATTGAGAACACAATTGTGGCCCAATAATAAAACAATCCTCAAATACAACTTGCCTAATAATTCTACACACAGTGTAAAGAGATTTGTTTTTGTGGAATAAAGAGGTAACATGTGCTTTCTAGCCTTTAAAACTGAGCTTTTAAAAACTAAATGGTTAGAAATTTAATTCCCAAGTCCACTAACAGATTAAATGTAAATGTTTCAGGACATATGCTACAACGGTTGCATTCTGTTTGTCAGGCCACTAAAACTTGAGAATCCGACTTGACTCAAGAACATCTGCCTTTAGATAGGAAGAAAAATGGGTGGACCTTGATGATTTTCTGTTCTATTGCAATGCACTAGTATGCAGAAAGTACAATGCAGAAATGTTAAATGCATTAAAGAGATCCATATATAAGTTCCTTTTATACAAAAGTGGAGCCGATATCTAGAGGAATAATAGAAGGGAAGAGAATATAAGAGAATGGAATAGAAAATCTGCTTATTGTCCCACAATGGGGTAACTCTGGTGTTTACAGCAGCAAAAAGAGTATAGAAAAAAATGGTCAAACAAATATGGACCTTGGCAAAAATTTATAAGAATAACATAACAGTGAAGATTTAAAAGATAAACAATTAAATATTGTACTGTAAAATATTTTAACATTATAAAAACTAAGGTGATTTGATTTATTAATCCAGCCTCATCAGGACCAACAAACCATGTATTGTGTTACTATTGTCATTAAGCATGAACACCACTAGATGGCGTGAGAACATCTCTTCTAAATGATACAAAATTTGAAAAAAAAAAAAAAAAATGAAACATATATTTCAGATTGAGACTAAAAATTACTGAAAAAGATGTTCCCATGTGTAATTCAGCCCGAGTTAATAATCATACTAGGTTTGGTAAAATTGCATGTAGTGAAATTATTATATTGATGAATTACTTTATCATCAAAATATATCGGAAGGACATCAGCATATTGTTTTTAACTTTTTATTTAATATTTATTTGGAAATTAAAATATGTTAAGGTTTAAAAAATGTTTCAACCTTTATATTTATTTATGTTAATGTATATTAATAATAATTGTTAATGTTACACATTTTCTGGCTTCCCCTGAATTTTTTCTTTCAATTTTTTTCATCAAAAAGCAGAAGATCAGCCTGCTGTATGTTAACATTGCTGAGGTGGAGCTCAAACATGAGAGGAAATTCAGTACATCGTAGTCACTTCCTATAATATTTATATCTGAATAAATACCACTGATGTTCTCCCTTAGTCTTATTGCATTGTTTCCTGTAGCAGAGATAATTCTGCTGTTGATAAAAACAAATTTAACGTACAATTAAAGCACCAGACTGATGAAATTAATCAGTATGAGGTTATGCAGAGATGTTTTTTAGGTATCCCAGGTTATATAAATGGATATTGTCTAAACTTAGCACAATAGGTAAATCAATTTGCATATGGTTGATTATCTCACTATATATCAGCTAATGCTTTTACCTTTGAATATTAGCCACAAACTAAAATAAAAAGCAACAAATGAGTGGGCTTCCCTGCATGGAACTACAGTTATAATGTTTTAGATTGTGTGCTGGTGGCAGACGTTGTCCCTCAGCAGACATGAATCATCAAGATGAAACATATTCTGCCAGCATAAATCTGCTGGCACCTTTCAGATGTGTCAGTGTGGGTTTGCTGTCATAAAATACTTGACATTAATTTCCTCTTGGAACACATCTGTTATGACACTCTGCATTCCCACTACTGAGGCCCAGTAAAGGCTGTCCACGTGAGCCAAAACATTGTGTTCCTGGGAAATGCTTATCTGAGCAGCTGGCAGGGGTAGGTAGGTAATGGCCATTGCATCCGTTTCTATGAGTCTAACGGGAAAAACACCTCACAGTGGTTTCATAAAATTCTCACAGTTTTGGGTAAAAAGTGAATTTTATGCACTAAAATGTTGATTTCACACATTTTCATTTAAGGTAATCCCTGAAAGTAGAGCTGATATGTTATACCGGTAAGCTAAACTGGCATCTAGCTAAAGAAGAGAGTAGTAAGATATTTAAAAGTTCAATAATTTGAAAGATCACCTCTGAATTACCGAGTTTCTGTTAATGATTCCTCTTGACAACAACTTTTAGCATCTCTTCAAGCTGTTGATTTTGCTAAAAAAGGTTTTTTTTTTGTCAACCATCCATTGTAATGTAAAAAAAATTGCCTCAATGTGGAAATGTACATATCCTTGTTTATCACAGACTTGATTCTTGGTGGTTCTCGAGTTGCTCATAGACATTCAAACCCATTTTGTTCTTTTTTTTTTTTTTTGCATTGGCATCTTGTGTGAAAAGGTTTTAAATCAGGATAATGTGACACCAGTTTTAAGGGTCTGACTAGTCCATTTTTTCTTAAGGCTTCTTGAAACTGAACAATTCAAGGGCGAAATATATCAAGGTGGAACCAAATTCTCACTTTTCTTCTCCTTTAAAAAAAAAAAAGACTTTGATTGTACAGTAGATATTGGAAAAGGATCAGTTCCAAGGCTTACATTCATAAAACACACACAAACTAAACCCCCTAATAACTAATCAAGGCAAGCTTTGACATCTACATAGCAGAGGTTGTTGTTTGAAGTTCTACAGAAACACAAAGCAACTCACCGGATCACTGGAAGCTCTATTTTTGTTTTGTAGTGGTTCTGCCAGAGGCCCTGAATCTAGTGAGGAATCTATGGTGGGAAGCTAAAGATTAGGGTGATGGTACAGAGTCCTGCAAACCTCAAAGACTCTGAGATAATCACTAAAGAATAATTATAATATCAAAGGGGAAATACAACAAGACAATATACTGAAAAACATGCCAATTATCGAGAAGAGTAGAACAAATTTTAACTAATTATCTTTCCAGTATAAATGTTTTTAACCATAAACTGTTCTTCACTGTATGATCCCTTAAACATTAACCAGCTAATGTGGAACCAGACATTTTTGCGAAGAAAGCAGAGTTTTTTGTAAAATGTTCCTTTTTGAAAGATAAAAAATAAATGGTAAAATTCACATCATTTAGGGGCTGCAGGAAAATTATGGACAAATGACAGATTTAAACTTTCTCTCTGAAATACGTGGACATTTGTAGTAAAGATGAAATAGAAATGAAATATTTAACATTTGAGTACATCTAAACATTTTTAAAGTACACTGCAGAACAAGCGAATACGTTAAAAATATTCTCCAAAAAGCCAACAGGAGGCAGGCTTCTTCAAAACTAAAATACCAAGGCTCATACTTGCGGTTGATAAGTTTTTTTGTCACTATTATTTTCTTAGTTAATGCAACAATTTTAATCTTACATGATAAATAAAGTTATGGCTGGACTGAAATAAGAATAAAATGGACTTAAAAAGTCAGCCGAGTAACTGCTGGGTTAACACAGTAAATAATAGGTAGATAAAAAACAAACAAACCTCTTCTAACTGTGGCCAATCTAAACCTTGAGAGTTATCAATCCCAGGGTTTCATCTGTGCACCTGAAGGCAGCACTTACTGCACCACAACTTCTGCAGAGGCGTAGCCAGAAAATGTTTATTAGGGGGGCCAGAAAATAACCAATGTACACTGAGGGGTGGCACCAGAACCTCAGGGTCAATCTACACTCTTCCAAAAGGAAAATTAACCGGCAAAAAAATCCAGACAATTTATACTTCCCTACAGCCTTTGTTAACAAATAGATGCATATATCTAAACATCTGTGCTTTATAGATAAAAGGTATAGTGGATAAAATCCTTTCAGGTTTGAGTTCTGGGGCGGACATATTTTCCTTTGTTTTCACTTACCTACTTTTATCAACAATCATTCTGGATAAAATTGATATTTACAAGTACTAATATCTACATAAATTGATTATTTAATAAAGTTTTATTAAAATAGTTATTTATCTATGATTTCACTGAAAGCTCCTAGATGACTTGCAGAGACACATCATTTTCTCTTTACCCCATAAAACACAAAATCTAGTTCTGAAAAGAGCAGGAATTCTGTACTTATCATCTTTAATGCTAGTATTTTAATGTGCATAATTAACCACAGTGTTTTTGTTGTCAAGTAAATGTTAATATATGAAAATTTTAAATGTTTTCAATATTCTACTTGAGAGTATTACTGCTGCCACTGTCTGTATTAAGCCGGGTGTGCACTGTGCAATTTTTTTTTCAATCGTTGCAAGCAGCTGCAGCTCACACTGTACGACGAAACCCTGCGGTTTCGTCGTACAGTGTGAGCTCACAGCTCACGATGCATGTTTGGCCCGACGCTCTGATGCAATCTACATGCTCACACTGTACGACTATAAAACACGTCGGACTCAGCTGCGCAGTGAGATGGAGCTGCTATGACTCGTCTATCTGGAAGCCAAACAAATAGAAGGGGAATATGAAGCTCACTATAGTGAAACGCGTTGCCTTGGCAATTTGTGCAATTTTGTGCTGAAAGCCCTAAAAAGAAAAGGTGACGACGTATTTGGAAAAAAGACCTGGCTGAGCAAACGTGGCTACCACGGTCTGTCAGTTTTACAGACAGAACTCGCTGCTGTGTTTACATCTTAGAGGAATAAGAAAAAGGAGAATCCTTGTTTGCGCACCGAGCGATTTGCCCACGACGAGGCTCATGATTCCTGATCAGAAGGTGGTCATGACAGGCTGATTGTCCCTCGTTACCCCCGTACACTATATGACTCACGACACACGATCAGGCTGAAAGTCGGACCGATCGAAAGATTCTGGCATGACTGGAAAATCCCCGGAAAATCGCACAGTGTACGCCCGGCTTTAGAGTTAAAAAATAAATAAATAAATAAAATAAAAAGGGTCATGGCCACCCCTGGCCCCCCATCATGCTCCTCCCCTGTACTTCTGGGCTTACATCTTAGGCATCTCAAAACAAAAGCTTTACAGAGCGATTACGTAGATTATAGAAAAAAACGTATTTCAGCCTAAAGTAGTAAGCTTAACAAGAAAAAATATCTTAACGCCACACATGAGCATGTAGAAGCTCTGAGCGTTACGAGGAGCACCTGAAGGTAACACGGGGAGGTGCAATTGAATGAAGCCTCTCCTGCGCCGCTAGGTTCCTCCTCCTCCTCTTCCTTTTATTTCTCCTGCTCGCATCTTTTTCACCACCTGCCGCAGCTGCAACGGAGAGATGGAGACCTTCCTGTGATTACTGTTAAGCTGCTGGAAAGACCATCCGGCCAGGGAAGGACAGAGAGACAGCAAGGGGTGAGGAGCAGGAAGGGGGACCGCGGACAGAAACATATGGTTGGACAGAGGAGCGATTTTTGTTTCTTTTTTTCCCCTGAGGACTGCTTAAACGAACAGAAACTTATTCACCCACCGGTATATCCGCCAATGACACCCCGCTAACCTCAGTTTTAAGCCTTAGAGCTCACCTGCTCCTGTCACACCTCTGTCTCATTACTTATTGCGCTCTTTAAAGCTGCCTGCACGCGCTGAACGCACAGACGCTCACAGAGAGCGTCACGAGACGCGGTACAGCCTTTATACCAGCTTCCTGTAATTAGATAACTTATTTTCTCAGAGGTGGAGGTAATATATTCGGTTTCTTTTCGCCCTTTTTTTTTTTTAGCATAAGGCTGTTTTTCCAGTGAGAGTCTCCTCCTCCTGCAGCTCCTCAGCCATGTCTGGACACACTGTGACCATCCCGGACGACAGGGCGTTCGCCAGCTTCAAGGCGGAGTGTCTGTGTGAAGAGGGCTGGACCATGACCTACAGCAAGGCGGGCATCACGGTGTGGACCCAGGTGCTGGAGGAAGGCAAGTCCGTCCATAAAATTAAGGTAAGGCAACAGATTTCAGTGTTCTGAAGCCCACAGGTGCATCTCAGTCAACCCTAATATTTAGAGATTAATTTCAGCAACTCTCTACAAAAACAGTGACACTTGTAGGCCTATATTAAAATGAATTGGATATGATAAGAAGATGTGTCTTTTAAAAACAGTAATATTGTCATTGCCCACACAACTGTTATGGCCGTTTCCCCTGCAGACAGCTGCCTAGACTTTGCACAAGCCAGGTAAACCACAAATTGACTCTGTGGCAAACAACAGGGCTGTATCGAAGGGAATTAAAGGGAAGTTGAGCAGAAGGAAAAAAGGGTGCATAAACAAAAGGGATAAAGCATTTTGAAGCTGCGATCTGATCTTTAACCAACAAATGTATGAATATACAACATGAGGTGCGACTGTCAGGTTCCTTAGGTTAATTCAATTCAGTTTGTGTATATATATATATATATATATATATATATATATATATATATATATATATATATATATATCATCTTAAGGCACTTTACAGTTCACCAGATCATACAGTCAAATAGATTTTCTTACATTTTCTATCTAAGTAAAACCAGTTGATTGCATCAACTCATTGACTCAAAGGCAATCCCTCACACTAAGCATGCCTATAGCGATAGTGGAGAGGAAAAACTCCCTTTTAGCAGGACGAAACCTCCAGCAGAACCAGGCTCAGTGTGAACGACTCAGGCTCAGTGCTGAGGCCGACTGGGGTTCAAGGAGACAGAAGCAGAGATACAAAGGCAGCTGTAAAAGGCGGCCCCGTCCAGGAAACATACAGCCAGGCAGATGAGCTCAGAGCCATGTCAGTGGATGAAGAGAGCACGTCCAGCCTGTCACAGTCAAGAGAAACAGGACTACACTGGAAAAACAGGCCAATCTCCAACATCTATAAATAAAGGTGTTGATGGCAGCAGCACAGCTGATATTTCTCTCCAGGATGGTGTCACAGCCAAACAGGAACAGACGAGGCGAAGCTATATGAGAAAAAGCAGAGCGAGCATAACGTTAGAGATTGAACTAAAGGATTCTGCAGAGTGGGAGAATAGAGATAGAATGATGAAAAAGCGGTCCCTATGTCCTCCAAAAGTCTAAGCCAAAGGACATTGCAGTGCGCTTGTGCTCTGAGAAGGTTGCAAGTACCCGGTTCAATCCCCACAGCCTGCACTCTGGGTTCCTGAGCAAGACCCTTAACCCCACACTGCTCCCCTGATGCAGCACAATGGCAGCCCACTGCTCCCCAAGAGGATGGATTAAATGCAGAGGTAAAATTCTTCTGTGTGAGATACATAAAGTTCAATTATTATTATTACTTGGGATAAGGAGGAAGGACTGGGCTGTTACTCATTTGTTCATATGAAAGTCATGGTTCTTTCCATCCGTCTCTGATAGCCAAAAATTTGAACTTTGAGTTACAAATTTCAGACAAAATGTCCTGGAAAGTCAGAATTGGGAGTCAGAGAGTTGGCAGAAGAGACTGGTACCTCAATTCTGCTTTGAAAATGGATGCTGCGCGCATCAATAATAGTTAAAGTTTCCTATTTTGACCATTTCTAGCTTTATTGTGTATGTAGCATTAAGTCAGTAGTCCAGGTGCTACTAGTTAATGTTTTGGAGAAGATTGGAATCAATAGTGTGTTAAAGGTATAGGCAGATCTTTTTAAAAAAATTGCAAAAATCCTCCACAATACAGAACACTGCGCAGAACTTCAGAGTTTATATTACTCTGCCATTCCAGTTTCAAGTTCTGAACACGCCATGAAGATCAGAGTCTGAAAAAAGGTAGGAATGGCACAGAATCATGGCTGTGAGGATTTGGGAAGCTGTATCATCTGGTGAGGGGGGTCACCTGTGCTTTATTTAAGAAGTTGGGCATTTTAGAGCATGTTGCGCTTCCCCCTGCTGACATGTTTACGGATCCCAGCAGGACTTTCAACCAACTCAGATTGCTAATTGTACCAATGCCTGGTTGCTCACCTTGATGCCACTTCTGGTCGGCACATCTTCCAGAACTAAACCCATTAGAGAATCTATGGTGTAATGATTAACCAGACCTAAAGATGAAGGTCCTCTTAAAATAACTTGGGCTTCTTGATCACTTTAACAATTACAGGTTGATAACCCCCATGTCCTGCTACACTGATACAGTAATTCATGCAAATGTAGTCTCAACTTATGAGTGCATAAACATCATAGAGTACATGAACATACTCCTTAGTACGACGGCATTTGTTTAATATAATTTTTTTTTAAATTATGCTTTCCAATTTCTAGAGAAGAATACATTTTTGGCGACTTTTTGTTTTTAAAACCATGATAATTTAAATTCACATGAATGAGCCATCAAATTAGAATACCCTTTATAACGGATCTATGTGCAACATTAAAAGAAAGTCAGGGCGTCAGCATAAACACATCCTAGTAGCACAATGTAGATGCGAGGAAGAGCTCTGTTGAATTCCCACATGCTCTAAACTGCTGACATGCTGTAGCTGCTGCTTTATGCTGCAGGGCCCATTGCAGGTTTACAAAAACCCTAAAAAAGGGAACAAAAACATTTTTTAATGTTGTTCATTTATAATCGCAAAGATACAAAACTGACGAGGAAAGGCTTGAGTAACACATCCTGTTTTAGATGTTTGCAGTGGAGCTGCACTCCGAGAGAAAATCCCCTTTATTAAACAGAAGGAGAGCAGGTGGGAAAACCTATGAAACAAACATTTGTTCCACTCCCCCAAGATAAAGAGCCACTGTTGGTAAACCATTGTTTTACATCAGTATTTGGAACTTTTTTATATTTGATCCCATCTACCCCAAACTTAAGTGTATTTCACTAGGATTTAAAATGATAGAGCAACACAAAAAGGCAGATAATTCTAAAGATTTTAAACATAGATGGGTTTAAAGTTTCATTATTTAAAAATGCGGTGTGCATTTGTCTTGCTTCCCTTTTTTTCTGATTGCCAAACATTGCCAAAAAACTGTCTTAAGAATTGGGCTTCATTAGTGAATGAAACAGGTCTGCTTGTACCATTTATACATTTTATAACATTCAATGTAAATGCAGCTGTTTCATTCCATAGATGTACCTTTATGGAAAATAAAAAGCATGGTGTGATTAGCATCTGATACTGATGCAGAAGTCTGGGTACATCATCTTGAAAACACTCATTATGCAATGAAACATGGTAATGGCAGCATTATGGTGTGGGTTTTTTTTTTCCCAGGAGGGGTAAAAGAACTTACACAGGGAAATCAACAAAGAGACCTTGTTAAAGGATACAAAAAAAAAAAAATCAAAAATAGGCATAAGTTTTCCTTCCAGGATAATGACCTTAAACACAATGGCCCAGTACTGCTACAGCTGTTTTTGCAGTATAAGATTGCTCTACATAGTCAGGAGTCTTATACAAAAGCAGTACTTTTTCTACTGTGTTAACATGCAGATTTATTCAATTTTCCCAAACAAAGGTAATAAGGCTTCCTGATTTAATATAAAAAACAGTAAACCATTTTTAAGTGTAATTAACAGTTTTAGAAACCACTGTTGTGTCCAATTCAACCTTTCCTACCTTCTACATAAGCACGCATTTATTTTTTAGGTCATAGTAGTTAGGTAAAAACATGATGGATTTAGACTGACAGACATTATATTTGTTTGAATGTTATATCATTTGAACTGCCATAACCTTTCTTTTGTTCTGTATCTGCAGCGTGAGGAGTTGTATAAACAAATGCTTATCTGTTAAGAGTGTCTCACAATGCTGATCAAGCATATCGGAACAAGAATAGTCTCTTGAACAGTACTGTGCATATCTGCTATACTGGTGCACTGATAAGGAAAGGAATCCTCTTTGTTTCAACCAGAAAGCATGGTTGCTAACACAGACTAAAGAAAGAAACACAGCTACAGAGACAGTGACAACTAAAGAAAAATGTAAAGTTCCAGATGAAGCAGCCCATCAAAATTTAGTAAAATGACAACAAAAAAAGGTTAACTTTATCTTAGATAAAACAGAGAAACATGATGTTATTCTTATGAAATAAAGACAACCAACTATGGTGTTTCAGACCATTATTAGACACAGTTATATTCATAGTCTACACACTCGCCCCACCCTGTTATAGAGGAACAAATGATATGTAGGTTAGACATTTGTGCTCTCACAGAGACTATTTTATAATGTTCACTCTCTGAAGTGGTCTGAATCAATAGCTGTTGCAACACTTTCTTTGTGCGAGCTACAGGAAAGTTTCCAATGTAATAAAAATGAAAAAAAAAAAAAAAAAAGTTATTTATCGTAATAAAAGTGAGTGAGATATTCCGGAGTTTGAGTTCACTGATCTTTACAACAACAGATCTTTGAAAGGAAGGTCGTTTAAAAAAGGTTGCATTGTCTGCTGCAGTTTCCATGACGAATTTTATGATTCTTATTTTTGCATAGATCATATATGTAGATCCACTATCAAAGAAAGTTCAGGAAAGGAAATTCAAGCCTTGCAGCACTTTTTCTGTATTGCCAAATAAAACGTGGAATAAAATAAAGTGCATCCTATTCAGATTCTAAAATGAATTGATGCTTCTTTGTTCCTTTACCAATATTTGCCTCAGAATCAGAATCCCTTTACTGTCATTATATGCTATACAATGACCTTAAAAGCCTCCAACATCAGTGCATATACAGAGTAAAAAAAAAAAATTAAAAATTGAATATCTTAACATTTACTATGTATAGTGTATATATATCCCAACATTTTTCATAATTGTCTGAAGACGATTTAATAGGCACTCTGACCTTCTCCCAGAAATACTCCAGACTAAAATATTTGTTCACTGTTGATTTTTAAGTATATTCTTTTTAGATTTTAGTCTTTTTTTTTTTTTTTTATGATGTGAGGGACTTGTGGTAATATGCATTGAGTCATCCCCATTATCTCGTCAGAGACAGACAGTTGGTAATTTCTTTGTGGTTGATGTT